TCTGACCAGGGCCCCCATCCCGCAGTCAACAAATTTTGAATGCGTCCACCTGAGGGTGGGTGACCGGGACAGATTAGGGATTCTGTTAGTGTACCGTCCACCTCGCTGCACTACAGTCTCCCTGCCTGAGCTAGCAGGGGTGATCTCGGACCTGGCATTGGAGTCCCAACGGCTACTTGTGCTGGGGGACTTCAATGTCCACGCCGAGACCGCCCTATCTGGAGCAGCTCAGGACTTCATGTCTACCATGGCAACCATGGGGCTGTCCCAACAGGTATCTGGCCCCACCCACAGTGCTGGACATACATTGGACTTGGTTTTCTGTCAGGGATGGGAGGAAGGTGGCGGTGTTGAGGAGTTATCCATCTCTCCGTTGCCATGGACCGACCACCACCTGGTCAGCTTTAGACTTACTGCACCCCCTAACCTCCGCAGAGGTGGAGGACCCATTAAGTTGGTCCGCCCCAGGAGGCTTATGGATCCGGATGGATTCCTGACGGCTCTTGGGGAATTTCCCGCCACCTCGGTTGGTGATCCTGTTGATGCCTGGTCGCTCTCTGGAATGGGGAGATGACTAGGGCAATAGACACGATCGCTCCAGAACGTCCCCTCTCAAGTAGCCGAGCTAAACCAGCCCCTTGGTTTACTGAGGAGCTGGCAGTGATGAAGCGAAAGAAGAGGGAACTAGAGAGCGTGTGGCGTTCGGATCCGAGCGAGCCAAATCGAACACGGTTTATGTCCTTTTTAAGGGCATACGCCGCGGCAATAAAAGCCGCAAAGAAGACTTTCTTTGCGGCCAATATTGCGTCTGCAAAGAACCGTCCGGCTGAGCTGTTCCGAGTTGTCAGAGGCTTATTAAAACCCAACATTCAGGATGGGTGCCCTGATGACTCTGCAGCTCGCTGCGAAGCGTTTGCTCAGTTCTTTGCAGACAAAGTCGCTTTGATCCGTTCTGGCCTGGACACCATATTAACGGCAGTCTCTGAGGATGTAACACGAGCATCTGCTTGTCCGGTTTTGATGGATTCATTTCAATTGGTTCAATCCGAGGATGTGGACAAGGTGCTTGGAGGAATGAGAGCTACCACATGCATCCTAGACCCCTGCCCATCCTGGCTTCTAAAGGAGGCCAGAGGGGGATTGGCCGAGTGGGTGAAGGTGGTGGTTAATGCCTCCCTTCGGGAAGGCAAAATTCCAGCCAGCTTAAAGCAAGCTGTAATAAAACCGCTGTTGAAAAAACCATCACTGGACCCCACTCAATTCGTCAACTATCGGCCTGTTTCCAATCTCCCCTTTTTGGGCAAAGTCATGGAACGTGTGGTGGCCTCACAACTCCAGGCATTCTTGGTAGACACGGATTATCTGGATCCGGCACAGTCTGGCTTTAGGCCGGGGCATGGTACCGAGACAGCCTTGGTCGCCGTAGTGGATGATCTCCGTCGGGAGCTCGACAGGGGGAGTGTGTCCCTGTTGGTGCTACTCGACCTCTCAGCGGCCTTCGATACCGTCGACCACGGTATCCTTCTGGGACGCCTCGCGGGGGTGGGTCTTGGAGGTACTGTTTTGCAGTGGCTCCGCTCATTCCTCGAGGGTCGGTCTCAGATGGTGTTATTGGGAGACTCCTGTTCAACCCCACAACCTTTGTCTTGTGAGGTACTGCCTTGCAGGTGTCACTAGGGGACTCCTGCTCGACTCCTCGGCCATTGCACTGTGGAGTCCCGCAGGGTTCAGTACTGTCCCCTATGTTGTTTAACATATACATGAAGCCGCTGGGAGAGATCATCCGGAGTTTCGGGGTACGGTGTCATCTGTACGCAGATGATGTCCAACTCTGTCACTCCTTTCCACCTGTTACTAAGGAGGCTGTCGAGGTCCTGAACCGGTGCTTGGCCGCTGTGAGGCTGGTTCATCAGGTGCTCTGCTATGAATCCAGACAAGACAGAGGTACTCCTGGTCAGTCGTAAGGCCGAACAGGGTATAGGGTTACAGCCTGTGTTGGATGGGGTTACACTCCCCCTGAAGACACAGGTTCGCAGTTTGGGTGTGATCCTGGACTCATCGCTGAGCCTGGAACCCCAGGTTTCGGCGGTGACCAGGGGAGCATTCGCACAGTTAAAACTTGTGCGCCAACTGCGCCCGTACCTTGGGAAGTCTGACTTGGCCACGGTAGTCCATGCTCTGGTTACATCCCGTTTAGACTACTGCAACGCTCTCTACGTGGGGTTGCCTTTGAAGACGGCTCGGAAGCTCCAACTAGTCCAACGGGCGGCAGCCATGGTACTAACAGGAGCAGGACGCAGGGAGCGCACAACTCCTCTGCTGTACCAGCTCCACTGGCTTCCGATCTGCTACCGGGCCCAATTCAAAGTGCTGGCATTGGCCTTTAAAGCCCTAAACGGTTCTGGCCCAACATATCTGTCCGAACGTATCTCGGCCTATCAGCCCACCAGGACCCTAAGATCTTCAGGGGAGGCCCTTCTCTCTATCCCGCCTGCTTCACAGGTGCGGCTCGTGGGAACGAGAGATAGGGCCTTTTCTGTGGTAGCCCCCCGGCTTTGGAATGCCCTCCCCGTAGAGATAAGATCTGCCTCTTCATTGATGGCATTTAGAAAAAAACTAAAAACGTGGATGTTTCAGCAAGCATTTGGTTAACTTGATGCAACGAAGCTAATGACCAAGGATCGGCAATCACGGACGATGAGTTTGGATTATGTTTTTAGTTAAGAGATGCACCGATTGTATTGGTGGCCCAATACTGTTTTATTGTGTATGTTTTTTTTATGCTTTTAGATTGTATATTGCTGTTCATTTTAATGCTGTAAACCGCGTTGAGTCGCCATTGTAGGCTGAGAAACGGCGGTATATAAGAGTAGTAAATAAATAAATAAATAAATAAAATTATTATTGGTGGCCCAATAATTTGTTATTGTATTTGTATATGTTTTTTAAACTGAGATTGTTTTTAAAATGCTGTAAACCGCAATTGAGTCGCCGTTCTAGGCTGAGAAATTAGCGGTATACAAGTATACCAAATAAATAAATAAATAATAATAATTATTATTATTATTGCCAGCAGACTCTATCACAACAATTATTATTATTATTATTATTATTATTATTATTATTATTATTATTATTATTATTTTACTGACACAAAAGCACAGTATGTCACAGCAAACGAGATCTCTGCTGGATTTCATATTATTATTATTTGGTATTATTATTATTATTATTATTATTATTATTATTATTATTGCCACCACTCAAAAACCAAACGTGTACACGCATGCGCATGCCCACGCCAACACACAGACACATGCACCCAGTGCAGGCAAGTGCCCGGGGGCCACTCCACCCCAACCAAGAGGCCAGGCCACTCACCTTCAAGGATCCCTAAAGAGCCAAAGAAGGGAGAGGGGTCAGAGAGGGTCTGCTCCAGCAGAAATGGCCACTCCACCCCTCCGGGGGGTCCCAAGTTGGCCCATGGCTTGCTTTAGACTGAGCCCCCTTCCTTCCACAGTGTATAAAATCCACATTGAACTGGGTTGTATGGCAGTGCAGACTCAGATAACCCAGTTCAAAGCGGATATTCCGGATTATCTGCCTAGGTCAGTGTTTCTCAACCTTCCTAATGCCACGACCCCTTAATATGCTTTCTCATGTTATGGTGGGCACTGACCTTGAGTTTTGGGAGTTGTAGTTTACCTACATCCAGAGAGAACTGTAGACTCAAACAATGATGGATCTGGACCAAACATGGCACGAAGTCTCCGTATGCCCAAATGTAAACACTAGTTTGGGGTAATAGACCTTGACATTTGGGAGTTGTAGCTGCTGGGATTTATAGTTCACCTACAATCAAAGAGCATTCTGAACTCCACCAACGATGGAACTGAATCAAACTTGGCACACAGAATTGCCATGACCAACAGAAAATACTGTAAGGGTTTGGTGAGCACTGATCTTGAGTTTTGGGAGTTGTAGTTTACCTACATCCAGAGAGAACTGTAGACTCAAACAATGATGGATCTGGACCAAACTTGGCACGAATTCTCAGTATACCCAAATGTAAACACTAGTAGAGTTTGGGGAAAATAGACCTTGACATTTGGGAGTTGTAGTTGCTGGGATTTATAGTTCACCTACAATCAAAGACATTCTGAACTCCACCAACGATGGAACTGACTCAAACTTGGCACGAATTCTCAGTATACCCAAATGTAAACACTAGTAGAGTTTGGGGGAAATAGACCTTGACATTTGGGAGTTGTAGCTGCTGGGATTTATAGTTCACCTACAATCAAAGAGCATTCTGAACTCCACCAACGATGGAACTGACTCAAACTTGGCACGAATTCTCAGTATGCCCAAATGTAAACACTAGTAGAGTTTGGGGGAAATAGACCTTGACATTTGGGAGTTGTAGCTGCTGGGATTTATAGTTCACCTACAATCAAAGAGCATTCTGAACTCCACCAACGATGGAACTGACTCAAACTTGGCACGAATTCTCAGTATACCCAAATGTAAACACTAGTAGAGTTTGGGGGAAATAGACCTTGACATTTGGGAGTTGTAGCTGCTGGGATTTATAGTTCACCTACAATCAAAGAGCATTCTGAACTCCACCAACGATGGAACTGACTCAAACTTGGCACGAATTCTCAGTATGCCCAAATGTAAACACTAGTAGAGTTTGGGGGAAATAGACCTTGACATTTGGGAGTTGTAGTTGCTGGGATTTATAGTTCACCTACAATCAAAGAGCATTCTGAACTCCACCAACGATGGAATTGAACCAAACTTGGCACACAGAACTCCCATGACCAACAGAAAATACTGTGTTTTCTGGTGGTCTTTCATGACCCCTCTGACACCCCCTCGCGACCCCTCCAGGGGTCCCGACCCCCAGGTTGAGAAACACTGGCCTAGGTATTCTGGATTACATGGCGGTGTGGAAGGGCCCAGGGAAGAAAGGCCTGACTGGGGCCAGGACTCACCGTAGAAGTGCCCAAAGCCCATGCTGACGGCCACCAGGAGGGCCAGGAGGATGCACCGGTTGAGGCCGCTGCCTCCAACGAAGGGGGTCCTGCGGGAGGGGGGCTGCGGCTCCACTTCCGGTTCGCAAAGCGGCGGCGGCGACGGCGCAGCGGTGTCCTCCGACTCCGAAGTGGAGAGGGGCCTCTTCTTGGCCCGGCGACGCCTCAAGGCAGGGCTGGAGCGTGGGCCACCCTCGTCACTGCTGGACTCCTGCGGAGGGGGAGGGGGAGGGGGGAAGGCTGGAAGGCAAGCAGAAGGACCCGCGTCCGTCAGGGATTTCTTCAACCTGGAGCCGAGTTTCTCAGCTCAGACCTCCATGCAGTATTAAAGTGGTTGGCACAACCTGGGGATCACAACCAGACATAGTGAAGACATCAGACCTCACAACCTCTGAGGATCTTAGGTACCTGGAGGATCTTAGGTACCTATTGATCTACTCACACTTGCATGTTAGGTACCTATTGATCTACTCACACTCGCATCTACTCACACATGCATGCAGGTTCAAATCCGGGGAGCAGGGTGAGCTCCTGCTGTTAGCCCCATCTTCTGCCAGCCTAGCAGTTTGAAAACATGCAAGTGTGAGTATTGATCTAACGAACCTATTGATCTAACGAACATTACATTTTTATTTATATACATATATAATATATTACATTATTAGCATAGAAGAATATTAGTGTTACATATTATTATATTGTATTACATTATAATATTATATGTATATATATTATTTTATTATCATAGCACAATATTAATATTATATATTATTATATTGTATTAGTAGTATATTGATTTACATTATATTATTATATGTATATATATTATTTTATTATCATTATTTTATTATATATTATATTGTATTATTAGTAGGATATTGTTTTACATTTATTATATAAATGTAATATATTATATTATTAGCATAGCACAATATTAGTGTTACATATTATTATATTATATTACATTATAATATATTTTTATATTGTACTATTAGTAGTATATTGTTTTACATTATATTATTATTATCCGTATATATATTATATTATTAGCATAGCACAATATTAGTGTTACATATTATTATATTGTATTACATTATTATATTTTATGTATATATATTATTATCATAGCACAATATTAATATTATGTATTATTATATTGTATTATCAGTAATATATTATTTTACATTATATTATATATATATATATATATATATATATATATATATATTACATTATTAGCATAGAAGAATATTAGTGTTACATATTATTATATTGTATTACATTATAACATATGTATATATATTATTTTATTATCATAGCACAATATTAATATTATATATTAATATATTGTATTAGTAGTATATTGTTTTACATTATATTATTATATGTATATATAATATATTATATTATTAGCATAGAAGACTATTAATGTTACATATTATTATATTACATTACATTATAATATTATATGTATATATATTTTTATTATCATAGCACAATATTAATATTATGTATTTTTATATTGTACTTTTAGTAGTATATTGTTTTACGTTATATTATTATATGTATATATAATATATTATATTATTAGAATAGCACAATATTAGATCAATAGGTACTTAATCACACTTGCATGTTTTCAAACTGCTAGGCTGGCAGCAGCAGGTCACACAGCACCCAAAACATGAACGCACACCAACACCTTGCCTTCTGCAAGGACCCCTCACCCCTGAACCCACTTTTTTTTTGTATATAAACACATGTATTTTTGTATATAAACACATGTTGTGAACCGGATCTGAGTCCCTCCTGGAGGTGAGATGATCACTATAGAAAACAGTTAAATAAATAAATAAATAAATAAATAGGCTGGCAGAAGCTGGGGCTAACAGCAGGAGCTCACCCTGCTCCCTGGATTTGAATCTGTGACCTTTTGGTCAGCACGCTCCGCAGCTCAGTGCCACCAGGAGCTCCAACACATAAAGTAGCCCAACTTTTGATCTTCAAAATAAAAGTGGGTTCAGGGGTGAGGGGTCCTTGCAGAAGGCAAGGTGTTGGTGTGTGTTCATGTTTTGGGTGCTGTGTGACCTGCTGCTGCCAGTTTCGTGTTTGGTGTTGGTTTGGGACCTGCAGTTTGAATCTCCCAACAGCGTCATCTATCCGTCCATCCGTTCCTTCCCTATAAACAGGACACATCATGATGCAGACGAGCATCCTATTTCTTGACCCCAAAACACTCCATGCGCCTCCAGGTTCATGCAAGGCCCGCTTCCGTCCCTTGATACAAAGCTCGCAATGTTAAAAGGGCAATCCACAGCAGATAGGTATGAAGACAGAAGTCAACCCACAAGTCCATGAGCATCGCTTCAAGCACTCCTCCTCCGGGAGAATGGGCCAGAAGGCAAAGCATCACACAGCAGGCCTCCGACCACAGCCCAAACCAGTCCGGCCCAGTATCCCTCACACAAAAATGCAAACTTCTGGCCCTCCGCTGCTTACCCCATCCGCTCACACGGGAGGGGATCCTCTGCAGCACCTCCAGCCAACTGGCTTTTGTTGATAGGAAACACAGAAGGAAAAGATGTGACCCTCTCCTCTTTTATTGCCAGCCCCCTTCGGGTTTTTTATAATACCATTTATATTTAATTCGGCCTCAATGTTTTTATATTTGGAAATTTTAAAGTGTACTGAAAGGCTTTTAATGTAAGCCGCTTTGAGTCTTTGTTCTTAACAGGTCAAAGAGATAAACCGGGTATATCAGTCTAACAACTGAGAAACCTAATTTGCCTTGCATGAATGCTAGTGGGATATTGATCACTAAAGAAGAGATTCACTCAAATGAGTTTTTAGCTCTTCTCAGAAAAATCATACTACTATCATTCCAAATAGTGTGAATACCAATTACTGTATATACTCAAATATAAACCTAGTTTTTCAGCTCTTTTTAGGCTGAAAAAGTCCCCCTCGGCTTATACTTGAGTCAAGGTTATTTATTATTTTATTTATTATTTGTAATACATTTATTATTTTGTTTATTATTTGTAATGCTTTCGATGGGTGAACAACCCAGGCTATGTCTGTCCTTACTACCTATTGTTGTTGTTATGGTTGTTTTAAAACTAATCGTATTGTTTTAATCTATTTCTGTAAACCGCTCCGAGCCAAACTGGGAGTAGTTAAATACAAGTTAAATAAATACATAAATAAAATTTATAATTTTACTCTATTAGTATTATTACATTTATTATTTTACTTTATTATTGTTATTACATTATTTGCATTTATTATTTTACTCTATTATAACTCTTACTACTACATTTATATTATTTTAATCAATAATAATAATAATAAATGTACTAATTTATTTTTATTAAGAAATTGGGTTGTTGTAGGTTTTTTCGGGCTGTATGGACATGTTCTAGAGGCATTCTCTCCTGACGTTTCGCCTGCATCTATGGCAAGCATCCTCAGAGGGAGTGAGGTCTGTTGGAACTAGGAAAATGGGTTTATATATCTGTGGAATGACCAGGATGGGACAAAGGACTCTTGTCTGCTGGAGCTAGGTGGGAATGTTTCAAATGACCACCTTGATTAGCATTTGTTGGCCTGACAGTGCCTAGAGCAATCTTTTGTTGAGAGGTGATTAGATGTCCTTGTTTGTTTCCTCTCTGTTGTTATGCTGTTGTAATTTTAGAGTTTTTTAATACTGGCAGCCAGATGTAATTTTAAATAAACACTAAAAAAAACTCTAAAATTACAACGGCAAAACAACAGAGAGGAAACAAACAAGGTCATATAATCACCTCTCAACAAAAGTTTGCTCTAGGCACTGTCAGGCCATTATATGCTAATCAACGTGGTCAGTTGAAACATTCACACCTCGCTCCGGCAGACAAGAGTCCTTTGTCCCACCCTGGTCATCATTCCACAGATATATAAACCCATTTTTCTTACTTCCAACAGACCTCACTACCTCTGAGGATGCTTGCCATAGTTGCAGGCAAAATGTCAGGAGAGAATGCCTCTAGACCATGGCCATATAGCCCGAAAAAACCTACAACAATCCAGTTATTCTAGCCATGAAAGCCTTCAACAATACATATTAATAAATTATTACATTTATTATCTTATTCTCTATTATTATTGCAAGGATAGAGAAGCACATTTACATTGAAGAAGATGAAAATAATGGTTTCATCAGAGTTGGACAGTTATCTTAAATTACAGTTTTATGTAAATATTCAAAAACATTGAACCTACTGATACCTCAATTAATGTAATTTTATTAGTATCTATTTTCATTTTGAAATTGAGCAGTACCTGCTGCATTTCCCACCCTCGGCTTATACTTGAGTCAATACGTTTTCCCGGTTTTTTGGGGTAAAATTAGATACCTCGGCTTATATTCGGGTCGGCTTATACGTGAGTATATACGGTAATCTTCTGAAGTCATCCTTTCCAAAAGGCATCCATAACCATTTGGTTTTCCCAAAGGTTATGGCTGCCTTTGTTGTGGCTCAGCATCTTGACAGCGAAGCTGCTACCGGTTGTAGGAAAAGGAGGAGTAATGCTGAGTCAGAGCTGGATCAGCGTCAGCTGAAGCGTATTCGAGATATATTCTTAGCACCTAGCGACACGGAAGATTTTGCGGGGTTTGGACCCGAGGATCTGGAAGAAGGGGATTACCGTGGAGTAAAGTGGGTTGCCAATGAGTCTGATAGTGATGAGGAAACTTTGAGTAAACGGCTTAAAGATACAGCTGACAATTCCAGTGCAGATGAACTGGAAGCCAGTAATGAGGAGATGGAGGAGGAATTGGACTGGACTCGGGTTAGGGAAATTCAGGACATATGTACTCAGCCCACGTCCAGTGACGAGTTCGAGGGATTCCAAAATACATGGCAGGAAGGTACATCTTGGCAGGATTCTGAATTAGATCAACGATGGCAGCGTTGGCGAGGTAACGAGCTAGCAGCTGGGGGAGATGACCCAGATGATAGCAGTGATAGCCAATCAAGCGATAGTGACTGCTAATAAAAATGGGAGCTCTGGGATATGTAGCTTTGCAGAGGACAAAGCGTTGTATCCGGTCTTTGTGCTGCCTAACCTCTGTTTGGGTCCTGGGTTTCCAGTTATTGTGTCTTCTTGTGCCTTGACTTCGGATTGGACTATGTAAGTGACTTCTCCTTCCCCTGACTTTGGAAACGTTCCTGGACCACGCAACTGCGTTCTGGACTTTGTTTACTGCTCTTGCCTGTGTATGACCAAGGACCGTTTTTGACTCCGTGCTTATCAATGCCAGCGTTTGCCCCTGCTTTCCTTTTTCCCTGAGTTTGAGTCCTGGGATAAGCCGGCTTTTCTCCCTCCTTTGTTTACTTGCCTGAAGGCCTTTTGTTTTGCTAACTAGCACTGCTGCTCAAGTGCTGTTAGTCTACCAGAGACTCATTAAAGACTTTTGTTAACCCTTAAACTAAAGGGAAAACTAAATGGACCAGTACAACCAGAGATATGTCGGTATGCCATTGGAAGATGGGACTCCCAGGTCGGAAGATGGCCAAAATGCTACTGGGGAGGAGCAGAGGATAAGTTCAACTAGCCCCAGATGTGATGACGCAGCTAGCTCAAAGCCGAAAGGAAGGCTAGCGGCCGACGGTACTGGAGGTGAACGATGAATCCGATGCTCTAAAGATCAACACACCATAGGAACCTGGAATGTAAGATCTATGAGCCAGGGCAAATTGGATGTTGTTATTGGTGAGATGTCAAGACTAAAGATAGACATTCTGGGGGTCAGCGAACTGAAATGGACTGGAATGGGCCACTTCACATCAGATGACCACCAGATCTACTACTGCGGACAAGAGGAACATCGAAGAAATGGAGTAGCCTTCATAATTAATAAGAAATTCGCTAAAGCAGTGCTTGGATACAACCCAAAAAATGACAGAATGATCTCAATTCGAGTGCAAGGAAAGCCTTTCAACATTACAGTGATCCAAATATACGCCCCAACCACAGCTGCTGAAGAAGCAGAAGTAGATCAGTTCTATGAGGATCTGCAGGACCTACTGGATAATACACCAAAAAGAGACATTATTTTCATTACAGGAGACTGGAATGCCAAGGTGGGAAGTCAAATGACAACTGGGATCACAGGCAAGCATGGTCTGGGAGAACAAAACGAAGCGGGACGCAGGCTGATAGAATTTTGCCAGGAAAACTCGCTGTGTATAACAAATACTCTCTTCCAACAAACCTAAAAGACGGCTTTACACATGGACCTCACCAGACAGTCAACACCGAAATCAGATTGACTACATCCTTTGCAGCCAAAGGTGGCGGACATCCATCCAGTCGGTGAAAACAAGACCCGGGGCTGACTGTAGCTCAGATCACGAACTTCTTATTGCCAAATTTAGAATAAAACTAAAGAGATCAGGGAAAATACACAGACCAGTTAGATATGATCTCACTAACATTCCTAGCGAATATACAGTGGAAGTGAAGAACAGATTTGAAGGACTATATTTAGTAAACAGAGTCCCAGAAGAACTATGGACAGAAGTCCGAGACATTGTTCAGGAGGCGGCAACAAAGTACGTCCCAAAGAAAAAGAAAACCAAGAAGGCAAAATGGTTGTCTGCTGAGACACTGGAAGTAGCCCAAGAAAGGAGAAAAGCAAAAGGAAACAGTGATAAGGGGAGATATGCCCAGTTAAATGCGCAATTCCAGAGGTTAGCCAGAAGAGATAAGGAACTATTTTTAAATAAGCAATGCATGGAAGTGGAAGAAGACAACAGAATAGAAGACAAGAGACCTCTTCCAGAAAATTAGAAACATTGGAGGTAAATTTCAGGCAAAAATTGGTATGATAAGAAACAAAGATGGCAGGGACCTAACAGAAGCTGAAGAGATCAAGAGAAGGTGGCGAGACTATACAGAAGATCTGTATAGGAAGGATAATAATATTGAGGATAGTTTTGACGGTGTGGTGAATGAATTAGAACCAGACATCCTGAGGAGTGAGGTTGAATGGGCCTTAAGAAGCATTGCTAACAACAAGGCAGCAGGAGACGACGGGATCCCAGCTGAACTGTTTAAAATCTTAAAAGATGATGCTGTCAAGGTGATGCATGCCATTTGCCAGCAAATATGGAAAACACAAGAATGGCCATCAGACTGGAAAAAATCAACTTATATCCCCACACCAAAAAAGGGAAATGCGAAAGACTGCTCAAACTTCCGTACAGTGGCCCTTATTTCTCATGCCAGTAAGGTAATGCTCAAGATCCTGCAAGGAAGACTCCAGCAATACATGGAGCGAGAGTTGCCAGATGTTCAAGCTGGGTTTAGAAAAGGCAGAGGAACAAGAGACCAGATTGCCAATATCCGCTGGATAATGGAGAAAGGCAGGGAGTTTCAGAAAAACATCTATTTTTGCTTCATTGACTATTCTAAAGCCTTTGACTGTGTGGATCATAATAAACTGTGGCAAGTTCTTGGTGGGATGGGCATCCCAAGCCCCCTTCCCTCTCTCCTGAGGAATCTGTACAAGGACCAAGTAGCAACAGTCAGAACTGACCACGGAACAACAGACTGGTTCAAGATTGGGAAAGGCGTACGGCAAGGCTGCATCCTCTCACCCATCCTTTTTAACTTGTATGCAGAACACATCATGCGATGTGCGGGGCTGGATGAATGCAAAGCTGGGGTGAAAATTGCTGGAAGAAACATTAACAACCTCAGATATGCAGATGACACCACTCTGATGGCCGAAAGCGAGGAGGAGCTGAGGAGCCTTCTAATCAAGGTGAAAGAAGAAAGCGCAAAAGCCGGGTTGCAGCTAAACATAAAAAACCAAGATTATGGCAACAAGAATGATTGACAACTGGGAAATAGAGGGAGAAAATGTGGAGGCCGTGACAGACTTTGTATTTCTAGGTGCAAAGATGACTGCAGATGCAGACTGTGGCCAGGAAATCAGAAGACGCTTCCTTCTTGGGAGGAGAGCAATGTCCAATCTCGATAAAATAGTGAAGAGTAGAGACATCAGACTGGCAACAAAGATCCATTGCCTAGTCAAAGCCATGGTCTTCCCTGTAGTCACCTACGGATGTGAGAGCTGGACCTTAGGGAAGGCTGAGCGAAGGAAGAGAGATGCTTTTGAGCTGTGGTGTTGGAGGAAAGTCTGAGAGTGCCTTGGACTGCGAGAAGATCCAACCAGTCCATCCTCCAGGAAATAAATCCCGACTGCTCATTGGAGGGAAGGATAGTAGACAAGGTTGAAGTCCTTTGGCCACATCATGAGGAGACAGCAAAGCCTGGAGAAGACAATTATGCTGGGGAAAGTGGAAGGCAAAAGGAAGAGGGGCCGACCAAGGGCAAGATGGATGGATGGCATCCTTGAAGTGACTGGACTGACCTTGAAGGAGCTGGGGGTGGTAACGGCCGACAGGGAGCTCTGGCGTGGGCTGGTCCATGAGGTCACGAAGAGTCGGAGACGACTGAACGAATGAACAACAACAACCCTTAAACTGCTGTGTGAGACAATCTTTGGTGCCCAGTCACAACAGCCTTTTCCAAAAGGTCATGCCTTCCCAAAAGCCCGTCTCCCCAAGAAGCAGCCCCGAGGCCCCTGCTCACCTGCCTCCGGCTGGCAGAAGGTGTACTGGCTGCTGAAGGAGGAGCCCATGTCGGAGCCCATGTCGGTGGCCGTGGGCCCGTCATCCGCAGGCGCTTCCAGGGCCTCGCTTTGGCTCCCAAGGCCTTCCTCCGCTTTGGGGGCCTCCAGCGTCACAATGTCCGAGTCGTCGCTCAGGGCCCCCAGGCAGGCCCCGTCCTCCGGCAAGGGCCCCTTTGCACCCTAGGGGAGAAGAGCCAGGGAGACAAGGCACTCACAAAGAGAAAGCATGGGGAACCGAGACCTGAAAGGATGTCACAAGGAAGAGGGAGCTTTCATAATGCGTATAGGGTGTTTCTGCAATGTTTATGGCATTCACTTATTTATTTACAGCATTTATATACCACTTTTCTCACCCTTGTGGGGATTCAAAGCGGTTTACACACAGATGGCAAAATTCAATGCCTTGCATTGGGCACCTGACATGATGCCAATACATAACAGTTACAATAAAACCATAAATTAACATAAATCATAAATTACTGTATATTAGGCTTGGGCGATCCAGTTCATTAATTTCGTTATTCGCTTTAATTAGTATTTAAATTAGCTTATGATCCAATATCGAGCCATGCAGGAATAGTGTGAGGAGTAATTAAGAATCAAAACAATTTTTCCAATTTTCATAATTATTTTCGTAATTTCGTAATTATATTTTATAATATACAATTATAATATAATATATAATATAATAATATAATATTATAATAATATAATATATATTATATTATTATAATACTATTATATTATAGTATTGTATATTATATTATTATATTATATATTATATTACTATATTATTATTATTATTATTGTATATTATAATTTAATATATGTAATATATTATAATATAATGTAATATATATAATATAATATGTAATATAATATAATAATATATAATAATATATAATTAATATCATAATATCATAATATAATATATAATAATATAATATAATGTACAATATTATAATATAATATATAATATAATATAATATAATAATATTATAATATAATATACAACAATATAATACAATATAGTTGTTGTTTGTTTTATCACACCAACAGTCAACCACAGAGGGAGAGGGAAGCTTCAGAAGTTCCCCCCATCCCGTTTGGAGGTTTTTTTTAGCATATTGCGCAATCACATCCGCCATTAACGAATCGATTCGTAATTTACAAAATTTCGGAAATATCGAAATCTTAAATTTCGGAAATCCTCAGAATTTCGAAACGCTGGCGCACCCTAGAAACGAAATGAGTTTAGAACCAATTTTTTTTTGATCGCCCAAGCCTACTGTATATACTCGAGTATAAGCCTCGTTTTTCAGCCCCCTTTTTAGGCTGAAAAAGTTCCCCTCGACTTATACTCGAGTCAAGGTTATTTATTACTTTACTTTGTTATTATTTTAATAAATATTTTAATATATATTTATTTTAACATATATTTTAATTATATTTTAATATATATTTATTACATGGATTATTTTAATATATTAATTATTATTATATATTATTAATATATTTATTATTATTATTATTATTATTATTATTATTATTATTATTATTATTATTATTATTATATTGGAGCCCCCGGGGGCGCAGTGGGTGAAACCCCTGTGCCGGCAGGACTGAAGACCAACAGTTCGCAGGTTCAAATCCAGGGAGAGGCGGATGAGCTCCCTCTATCAGCTCCAGCTCCTCATGTGGGGACATGAGAGAAGCCTCCCACAAGGATGACAAAACATCAAAGAATCATCCGGGCGTCCCCTGGGCAACGTCCTTGCAGACGGCCAATTCTCTCACACCAGAAGCGACTTGCAGTTTCTCAGGTTGCTCCTGACACGACAAAAAAAATTATATTTACATTATTTTACTCTACAGTATTATTATTTTATTACATTTATTATTTTACTCTATTTATTGTTAGTATTATTATTTATTTACTCTTTATTATTATTACATGTATTATTGTACATATGCCATATATGCTGGAGAGTAAAAATAGAGTAAAAATAAAAATAGATACCAATTAAATTACATTAATTGAGGAATCAGTAGGTTATATATTTTTGAATATTTACAAACATTGTAATTTAAGATAAGACTGTCCAACTCTGATTAAATGATGATTTACCTCCTTCAATGTCAATGTGATTACATATCCCTCCAATAATAATAGAAAACATAATAAATGTAATAACAACAACAATAAAAAGAGTAAAACAGTGAATGTAGCAATAACAACAATTATACAGTAAAATAAAAAATGTATAATAATAGAGTAAAATGATAAATGTTGGCAATTAGTCCAGCGGTTTTTGAGATATGATGCCACTCAAAACGGACAGAGCATTTTTATATATATAGATATTCACAGCAAGAGCAAAACTGGGAAAGGGGGGCTGCTATTCTCCATCCTCCTCCTCAACCCTCTTCCTTGCTTTTCTATGATAAACGGGGTTCTTTTCCACTGACCTCCTCCTGGGCGGCCTTGGTGGTCTCCAAGGGGCTCTGGTCGGCCACTGAGGACACGTCGCCTTGGCCAAATTCAGCTGCAGGAAACAAAAGTTGAACACATAAAAGATGGCAAATGTGACACAATCACCCCCCAATTTGTGCCTGTTTGCATCCAAATCTGGATAATGCGAGGAGGTGGAGGGGGGGGGGGTCTTCTTAGCAACATGTAAAAGAGGAGGAGGGACAAAGGTCAAAAAGCACACGTATGTACCCAAATCCCATGTGCATCTCCATTTTCAAAACCCTGCTACCAAAGGATTCGCTGCTGAATGAAATGTGCACTGGCAAAAAGCTTTGGGGTGCACCTATGCTTTAGAACAGTGTTTCTCAACCTGGGGGTTGGGACCCCTGAGGGGGTCGTGAGGGGGTGTCAAAGGGGTCGCCAAAGACCATCAGAAAACACAGTATTTTCTGTTGGTCATGGGGGTTCTGTGTGGGAAGTTTGGCCCAATTCTATCATTGGTGGGTTCAGAATGCTCCTTGATTGTAGGTGAACTATAAATCCCAGCAAGTACAACTCCCAAATGTCAAGGTCTATTTTCCCCAAACCCCATCAGTTTTCACATTTGGGCGTATTGAGTGCTTGTGCCAAGTTTGGTCCAGATCCATCATTGTTTGAGCCCACAGTGCTCTCTACATGTAGGCGAACTACAACTCCCAAACTCAAGGTCAATGCCCACTAAACCCTTCTAGTGGTTTCTGTTGATCATGGGAGTCCTGTGTGCCAAGTTTGATTCAATTCCATCTTTGGTGGAGTTCAGAATGCTCTGCGATTGTAGGTGAACTATAAATCCCAGTAACTACAGCTCCCAAATGTCAAGGTCTATTTTCCCCAAACTCGGCCAGTGTTCACACTTGGATATATTGAGTATTCAGGCAAAGTTTGGTCCAGATCCATAATTGTTTGAGCCCACAGTGCTCTCTACATGTAGGCGAACTACAACTCCCAAACTCAAGATCAATGGCCACCAAACCCTTCCAGTATTTTCTGTTTGTCATAGGAGTTCTGTGTGCCAAGTTTGGTTCAATTCCATCATTGGTGGAGTTCAGAATGCTCTTTGATTGCAGGTGAACTACAAATCCCAGCAACGACAACTCCCAAATGACAAAATCAATCCCACCTGGTTCAATTCCATCGTTGGTGGAGTTCAGAATGCTCTTTGATTGCAGGTGAACTACAAATCCCAGCAACTACAACTCCCAAATGACAAAATCAATCCCACCGCCAACCCCACCAGTATTCAAATTTGGGCTTACTGGGTATTTGTGCCAAATTTGCTCCAGTGAATGGAAGTACATCCTGCAGATCATTATTTACATGGCGATTCATAATGTTAGGGTTATGGTTGGGGGTCACCACAACATGAGGAACTGTATTAAGGGGTCGCGGCATTAGGAAGGTTGAGAAACACTGCTTTAGAATGAATCCACATGGATTTTTTTGGTTCAATGCTATAGAGCAGCATGGACCAACTTTTGCCCTCCAGGTGTTTTGGACTTCAAGTCCTACAATTCCTAGCAGTTGGTTCCCCTCTGGCTTATGCGCAGCACTAAGTCGACAGCCGTATGACCAGATTCTCATGTGCAGCGTCATTTTGGGAAAGGTGAGCATTTGATTCCAACAAGAAGCCCCTGCTCCTGGGGCCTCTATGGGGGTCTGTTGAGTGGGCAGCTGGGGAAACGGGGAAAGGGGTCTCCCTCTTCCTGAGCTGACCTTGCAAGTCCAGGGCCGGCTCTTCTTGCTGGTCACTTTCCTGCAGGAGCGGCGGCAGCTCCTCCGGCTCTGGCTCTGCGGAGACGCCTAGTCCTTCGCCTTCGGAGACCAAGGCCTCAATGTCGGATCCCTGTGGAAAGAGACACGGAGATGGAGAAAATTGCATTGCAGCCACAACCAAAAGCACCCAATGTGCCTTCACATTGCATCGCTGGAACAGGGGATTTTTCCATCAAGGTTTTTAAGATCTTCCGGGGGAGGGGGGGGGAGGCCTGCTCTCAATCCCACCACTGTCACAATCGCGGTTGGTGGGAACGAGAGACAGGGCCTTCTCGATGGTGGCTCCCCGGCTTTGGAACTCCCTCCCACAGGAGATTAGAATGGCTCCCTCCCTCCTGACGTTCCGGAAATTAACAAAGACTTGGCTATGGAGTGCGGCCTTTGACAACTGAGTCAACTCTGGTCCACATGGAAGGAGAATGAGTAACTGTGAATTATGACCAGGAATGTTTTTGATGACCTGGCTGTGTGATTGTGATGATGACGATGTCGTATTGTAATATGTTTTTAACGTGTAATGATAATGCATTCTGTGGTTTGTATTTTGTATATGAACACGTGTTGTGAACCGGATCTGAGTCCCTCCTGGAGGTGAGAAGATCGGTATAGAAAACTTTTAAATAAATAATATAATCAATTCCATCTCGACTAAAACAGGCTGTGGTTCGACCACTCCTGAAAAAGACCTCCCTTGACTCCACGGTCTTGAACAACTATAGACCAATCTCCAGCCTTCCTTTCTTGGGCAAGGCGTTGGGAGTGGGTGGTCACCTCTCAGCTCCAGGGCTTCCTTGATGACATCAACTACCTGGATCAGTCACAGTCTGGTTTCAGGCCGGGTCACGGTACTGAGACAGCTTTGGTCACCTTGGTGGATGATCTCCGCAGGGAGCTGGACGGGGGGAGTGTGACTCTGTTGGTTCTCTTGGACATCTCAGCGGCTTTCAATACCATCAACCATGGTATCCTTCTGAGACGACTCTCCGGGATGGGCCTTGGAGGCATGGTTCTGTCATGGCTCCGGTCCTTCCTGGAGGGTCGATCCCAGATGGTGAAGCTGGGAGACGCCTGCTCGGACCCCTGGCCTTTGACCTGTGGGGTCCCGCAAGGCTCCATTCAGTCTCCCATGTTTTTTAACATCTACATGAAACCGCTGGGAGAGGTCATCCGGAGTTTTGGAGTTGGGTGCCATCTCTACGCAGATGACACACAACTCTACTACTCTTTTCCATCTAACTCCAAGGAGGCCCCTCAAGTGCTGGCCGCTGTGTCTATCTGGATGAGGAGGAACAAGCTGAAGATCAATCCCGACAAGACAGAGGTCCTCCTGGTCACTTGTAAACTGGATCGGGGTATAGGGTGGCAACCTGTGCTGGACGGGGTTGCACTCCCCCTGAAGTCACAGGTCCGCAGTTTGGGAGTCCTCCTGGATTCATCGCTTACGCTTGAGGCTCAGGCGTCGGCGGTGGCCGGGAGGGCTTTTGCACAATTGAGACTCGTGCGCCAACTGCGACCATACCTCACGAAGGCGGATCTAGCCAAGGTGGTCCATGCCTTAGTCACCTCTAGATTGGATTACTGTAATGCATTCTACGTGGGGCTGCCCTTGAAAATGGCTCGGAAATTCCAGTTGGTCCAACGTCAATTCCAGACAATTTCACCCTATGTCTGGAGGCTCTGTCGAACTGGGTACATGCTAGCAGACTGAAGGTGAACTCGGTGAAGACTGAGATTCTCTGGCATGGCCACCCGGCAGGTCTGACTCGTCCGTTACCCACCTTCAATGGTGCCGCCCTATCTCCTTCGCCTACTGTTAAGAGCTTAGGTGTCATCCTGGATTCGCAACTGACAATGGAAGCTCAGGTCGCTGCTGCCAGCAAACAGACCTTTATTATTATTGTTTCGACAGGCCTTTGATCTTTGATATTGTTGTTTTTAAATTGTTTTATATTGTTTTTAAATTGTGTTAGATTTTAGCCTGTTCTTGTAAGCTGCTCCAAGCCCCAGGGGAGTGCTGGCGGCATATAAGTTTGAATAATAAATAAATTATTATTATTATTATTATTATTATTATTATTATTATTATTTTCCTCTCTTTATTATTATTGGAAGAATACATAAGCACAGTTACACTGAAGATTAGAATAATGATTTAATCAGAACTGGATAGTCTTATCTTAAATTACAGTTTTATGTAAATATTCAAAATCCTTTAACCTACTGATGCCTCAATTAATGCAATTTTATTGATATCTATTTTTATTTTGAAATTAACCAGTAACTGCTGCATTTCCCATCCTCGGCTTATACTCGAGTCAATAAGTTTCCCCAGTTTTTTGCGGTAAAATTAGGTGCCTCGGCTTATATTCGGGTCGGCTTACACTTGAGTATATACGGATAATATATTGCTATCAGCATTACTGCAAGGTAGGTTTACAGGCACACCATACCAGGAACGAGAATGCCCCCCGGCACACAGAAAGAAAGTGCCAAGCATGTCATTCTATATTGTGACTTTTCTAGAGATAATTGAGCTGTTTTTATTACTCCCGTCATACAAACGATGCCTGGTAGAACGGATGACCACTACCCTGAAACATCTAATTTATTTATTTATTTATTTACTGCATTTGTTGACCGCCGTTCTCAGCCCTAGGGCGACTCACGGCGGTGTACAACATATAAAAAGACAATTTACAATAAAAGCAATATCATAAACAACAATAACAACATCACTATTAATAATACCATTACTCTAAATCATTCGCGACGTCTCATCATAGAATCACAATCCAATCTCATTATCCATATTCCGTTCCACTCATCATTGCCAATTTGTTGTAGCACTTAGTCAAACGCCTTCTCAAACAACCACGTCTTTAGTCTCTTGCGGAATGTCATAAGGGAGGGCGCCTGTCTGATGTCTACAGGGAGGGTGTTCCACAGCCGGGGGGCCACCACCGAGAAGGCCCTATCCCTCGTCCCCGCCAGGTGTGCCTGTGAGGCAGGCGGGATCGAGAGAAGGGCCTCCCCAGACGATCTCAAGTCCTCGTGGGCTCATAGGCCGAGATGCGGTCAGAGAGGTATTTTGGGCCGGAACCGTTTAGGGCTTTGTAGGCCAACACCAGCACCTTGAATTGGGCCCGGTAGCAAATCGGCAGCCAGTGGAGCTGGTACAACAAGGGCGTTGTGTGCTCCCTGCGTCCCGCTCCTGTTAGTAACATGGCTGCCGCGCGCTGGACTAGCTGAAGCTTCCGGGCCGTCTTCAAGGGCAGCCCCACGTAGAGAGCGTTGCAGTAGTCAAGGCGGGATGTGACCAGAGCGTGTACCACCGTGGCCAAGTCAGACTTCCCAAGGTACGGGCGCAGCTGTCGCACGAGCCTAAGCTGTGCGAATGCTCCCCTGGTCACCGCTGAAACCTGGGGATCCAGGCTCAATGATGAATCCAGGGTCACACCCAAGCTGCGAACCTGCGCCTTCAAGGGGAGTGCGACCCAGTCCAGCACAGGCTGTAACCCTATACCCTGTTCGGCCTTGCGACTGACCAGGAGTACCTCTGTCTTGTCTGGATTCAATTTCAATTTGTTCGCCCTCATCCAGACCGTCACAGCAGCCAAGCACCGGTTCAGGACCTGGACAGCCTCCTTAGTAGCAGGTGGAAGGAGTGACAGAGTTGGACATCATCTGCGTACAGATGACACCGCACCCCGAAACTCCGGATGATCTCACCCAGCGGCTTCATGTAGATGTTAAACAGCATGGGGGTCAGTATAGAGCCCTGTGGAACCCCACAGGTCAAAGGCTGTGGTGTTGAACAGGTGTACCCCAATAACACCTTCTGGGTGCGGCCCTCCAGAAATGACCGGAGCCACTGCAGAACAGTGTCCCCGAGGCCCATTTCCGCAAGGCGCCCCAGAAGGATACCGTGGTCGACGGTATCGAAGGCCGCTGAGAGGTCCAGGAGCACCAACAGGGACACACTCCCCCTGTCCAGCTCCCGGCGCAGATCATCCACTAAGGCGACCAAGACCGTCTCAGTTCCATGTCCCGGTCTGAAACCAGACTGTGCCGAATCCAGATAATCCGTGTCTCTCAAGAATACCTGGAGTTGTGAGGCCACCACGCTTTCCATGACTTTGCCCAAAAAGGGGAGATTGGAAACAGGCCGAAAGTTGTCGAATTGAGTGGGGTCCAGTGATGGTTTCTTCAACAGCGGTTTTATAATAGCTTGTTTTAAACTCGCTGGAATTACGCCTTCCCGAAGGGAGGCATTAACCACCACCGTTACCCACTCAGCCAATCCCCCTCTGGCCTCCTTCAGAAACCAGCAATTACTCTTAGTGTGGCTAAGTTTGGCACTGCTGCTATCAAAATAAGGAGGCAGACTGTGGGTGATGGTGGGTGATTTCAAAGGATTTCTACCCAACCCACTTTAGTGCCTACACCCACAGATTTTATTAGAGCCCATACAGACGACCTCACGTTGGGGACGTTCTGCTTTCAATGTTTTGAATCATTGACCTTAATGTATTATTTAAAAAAATACCTCTGATTGTAATGTTTTAATACGTTGTATTCCTGGTCTGTGGCCATTACAATAAAATCCATTCATGTATTCATTCATCCATCCAGGATGCTGAGTAAATATTAACAGGGACACTCAATGCTGCAAGCAGTAAAACCAAACTCTACCGGTTATGCTACAGCGTTCAGTCCAACCAGGAAACAGAAAGCCCATTCTCACCACCAAACAGAATAAGAGGAGGCATAGAATCCTAGAAAACCAGCCTCTGTTTCAAAGCTTCCAAAGAAGGAGCCTCCACCACACTCCGAGGCAGAGAGTTCCACTGCTGAACGGCTCTCGTAGTCAGGAAGTTATAGAATCCTAGAATCCTAGAGTTGGAAGAGACCTCCTGGGCCATCATCCAGTCCACCCCCATCCTGCCAAGAAGCAGGAATATTGCATTCAAAGCACCCCTGACAGATGGCCACCCAGCCTCTGTTTCAAAGCTTCCAAAGAAGGAGCCTCCACCACACTCCCTCTGGGGCAGAGAGTTCCACTGCTGAACGGCTCTCGTAGTCAGGAAGTTATAGAATCCTAGAGTTGGAAGAGACCTCCTGGGCCATCATCCAGTCCACCCCCATCCTGCCAAGAAGCAGGAATATTGCATTCAAAGCACCCCTGACAGATGGCCATCCAGCCTCTGTTTCAAAGCTTCCAAAGAAGGAGCCTCCACCACACTCCCTCCGGGGCAGAGAGTTCCACTGCTGAATGGCTCTCACAGTCAGGAAGTTATAGAATCCTAGAATCCTAGAGTTGGAAGAGACCTCCTGGGCCATCCAGTCCAACCCCATTCTGCCAAGAAGCAGGAATATTGCATTCAAAGCACCCCTGACAGATGGCCATCCAGCCTCTGCTTCAAAGCTTCCAAAAAAGGAGCCTCCACCACACTCCCTCTGGGGCAGAGAGTTCCACTGCTGAACGGCTCTCACAGTCAGGGGGGAAAGACAAGGAATGGCAGAGAATAATAATAAATAATGATGTATGTATGTCTATATATATAGAGAGAGAGAGAGAGAGACTGGTATAAAAGATGGACCAAGCTAATGAGTACTTATACAGTCATTAGGTAAGCGTAAAGGTTTCCCCTGACATTACTCGTTGTCCAAGTAGGATAATCCTCCAGGGTGGGTCTGTAGGTGACTGTGGAGCCCTCTTCTTGACCTACATCTTCTCCCACAGTGAAGGCATCGGTTTCCAGGTGGAAGGCGGTCCCAGTCGGGGTTGGCTTGACACGCCTTCCTCTTGGCACATTTCTCTCTTTCGTCCTCCATTCGTGCCTCTTCAAATTCTGCAGCACTGCTGGTCACAGCTGACCTCCAGCTGGAGCACTCACAGACCAGGGCTTCCCAGTTCTCAGTGTCTATGCCAGAGTCTTAAAGGTTGGCTTTGAGCCCATCTTTCAATCTCTTTTCCTGCCCACCAACATCATAAGCCGCTAGCAGGTCTATGAAGACAGCTCCTGTGATCTGCTGCCTTTCAAAGCCATCTTGCGATGTGCAGGTTTTGCCTTTCCTAAAGCCAGAAGATGTAGTAAAGATTGTAGTAAAGTTGGAAAAATGTCCTGTTCTCGATTTGAAAGTGTCATTTCCTGCTTAATTGTGTGGTCCTGGCTTTGAAAGTAGTTGTTCTACTCCAGAAACTTTGTTTTTGTGCCACAAACTAGGTTGAATTGGTTGAGACTAAGTGAGATAGTCATTGTGAAACTATCGCAAAATGTGCAATGGCAGGATGATGTCCCACCCGCAAAGACAATGTTTGTGCAGTTTCATAAACGTTTCCCATATTTGTATGACAGAACCAATTAGGAAATGACATTTAGAACCCAGGAACAAAAATTAAAGTCCTACACAGTGTAAATCTATGAAGAGACGAAGGAAGGAAGAAAGGAAGGAAGGAAGGAAGGAAGGAAGGAAGGAAGGAAGGAAGGAAGGAAGGAAGAGACAAGGCCTCCGCAAGGACCAAACACAAGGATCATACCTCATGGTTGATGACGGTCCAACCACACGAGGAATCGCTGTCGCTGGAATTCTCTGCCATTTTCCAAAGCCGAGAGCTGGAAAGACACAAGGAGAGGCAGCGCATGAGGAAGCAGCTCTCGTTCAATAATAATAATAATAATAATAATAATAATAATAATAATAATATCATCGCCATAGCTGTTGTTATTATTGGCTGGCATTCTGGAGGTGAGTCCAGCTAGAACAGACCCCTTCTATCCATTGCTGAATGGTGGACTGGCCCATAAGTAACAGTAATAATAGCAATTTTAACTTTGAATATGTTTTAATGGGTTTTTAATCTGTGAAATTTTTAATACTTAAAAATTAAAATTAAAAATTATTTTTTATTTTTATTACTATTTTCTGTTTATGAATTTTTATTTATTGTTGTATTACTGTTGCTATGTTCTATTGTTGTATTATGGCACTGATGGGCAACCTTTAGATCTTGGTGTGTCAAAATTTGCCAAAAACCTGAGCATATCTTGGGTGGGGTGTCAACATAATTTTGCAATATTTATAGTTTAAATAAGAAAAAAGTATATTCCATGCTGAGTTATGGAGTGAACAATGCTCGAACGTGCAGATGTTAAATTTGTGGAGCCTTTTACAGATTTAAGGATGGAATTAGATTGCCTCTTATAAGGTGTATTTCTCTGTATGTGGCCACATGTGTCTGCGTGTCATCAAAAATAGCCACGCGTGTCAGTGCTGACACGCATGTCATAGATTCACCATCATGGTATTATGGGCTCGGCCTCATGTAAGGCGCACCGAGTCCCTTGGGGAGATGGTAAAGGTAGTCCCCTGACATTAAGTCCAGTCATGTCTGACTCTGGGGTGTGGTGCTCATCTCCATTTCTAAGCCGAAGAGCCAGCGTTGTCCGTAGACACCTCCAAGGTCATGTGGCCGGCATGACTGCATGGAGCAGAGTTACCTTCCCGCCTGAGCGGTACCTATTGATCTACTCACATTTGCATGTTTTCGAACTGCTAGGTTGGCAGAAGCTAGGGCTGACAGCGGAAGCTCACGCCGCTCCCCGGAATCGAACCTGCGACCTTTCGATCAACAAGCTCAGCAGCTCAGTGCTTTACGGGGTACAAATAAAGTTTAATAATAATAATAATACTGTTTATATTTAATTCTGTTTTAATGTTTGCATATTGATATATTTTAAATGGTATGCTGATGCTTTAAATGTTAAGCTGCTTTGAGCCAGGTGTAAATAAATATAATAGTAGTAGTAGTAGTAGTAATAATAATAATAATAATAATAATAATAATAATGTGTTGTAGAAGGCTTTCATGGCTGGAATCTCTGGGTTGCTGTGAGTTTTTCGGTCTGTATGGCCATGTTCCATAGCTACCCCACCTTTTGCCTTGTTTTTTTTTTTTACTCATGTTCTATGTTGAAATGGTCATATGACTGGTCAAGTAAATAAATTATATACCATAGCATCCCAATAATAATAATAATTTCCACTTTGAGTCTCCTTCAGGAGGGATAAATCAGGGTATAAATAATGATTATGATGATGTTGATTGATTGATTGATTTATCGTGTCAGGGGCAACCAGACGATTGTATTACATTTCTAACAGAACAAAAACAAACAGACACAAAACAAAATTTGGAAGCTTGGTAGTTGACTAAATGTCCTTTGACCAGTATCTGACCACATGGATTGCTTCTGGTGTTGCCGCAAGGAGGTCCTCCCTTGGGCATCATGTGGCAGGGCTCAGGGTGCATGGCAGCAGGTGGTCAGTGGTTTGCTCTTCTCCGCACTCGCATGTCGTGGATTCCACTTTGTGGCCCCATTTCTTGAGGTTGGCTCTGCATCTCGTGGTGCCCGAGCGCCGTCTGTACAGAGCCTTCCAAGTCTTCTGTGAGCCCAGGGGGGAGTCTCTCATTTGGTACCAGCCATTGGTTGAGGTTCTGGGTTTCAGCCTGCCACTTTTGGACTCTCGCTTGCCGGGGTTTTCCAGCGAGTGTCTCTATAGATCTTAGAAAACTATTTCTAGATTTAAGTCGTTGATATGCTGGCCGATGGCGTGTTGACGTGCTGGCCGATACCCAAACAGGGGATGAGCTGGAGATGTCACTGTCTTGGTCCTTTCACTATTGGCTGCTTCTTCCCGGCAGATGTCAGGTGGTGCAATACCGGCTAAGCAGTGTAATTTCTCCAGTGGTGTAGGGTGCAGACACCCCTTGACGATGCGGCATGTCTCATTCAGAGCCACATCCACTGTTTGAGCGTGGTGAGATGTGTTCCACACTGGGCATGCGTACTCAGCAGCAGAGTAGCATAGCGCAAGGGCAGATGTCTTCACTGTATCTGGTTGTGATCCCCAGGTTGTGCCAATCAGCTTTCGTATGATATTGTTTCTAGCGCCCACTTTTTGCTTGATGTTCAGGCAGTGCTTCTTGTAGGTCAGAGCACGGTCCAGAGTGACCCCTCCCAGGTATTTGGGTGCGCTGCAATGCTCCAGTCGGATTCCTTCCCAGGTAATCATCCTCAGAGCTCGGGATGGTTGTCTGTTCTTGAGATGAAAAGCACATGTCTGTGTTTTAGATGGGTTGGGGATCTGCTGGTTTTCCCTGTAATAGGCAGTAAAAGCACCTAGAGCTTCGGAGAGCTTCTGCTCAACCATCTCAAAGCTCCCTGCTTGAGCGGTGATGGCACGATCATCAGCATAGATTAAGCTCTCTGTCCCTTCTTGCAGTGGCTGGTCTTGTGTGTAGATGTTGAACATGGATGGAGCAAGCACGCTCCCCTGAGGCAGGCCGTTCTTCTGTTTCCGCCATCTGCTTCTCTGGCCCTGGAACTCAACAAAAAAGCTCCTGTTTTGTAGCAGGTTTCCTATGAGGCGGGTGAGGTGGTCGTCCTTTGTGAGATTATACATTTTTCTCAGGAGGAGGCGGTAGTTCACAGTCTCATAGGCTGCTGACAGGTCTATGAAGACAGCTCCTGGGATCTGCTGCCTTTCAAAGCCATCTTCTATGTGCTGAGGCTAACAATACTAAAAACATTAATAATAATAATAATAATAATAATAATAACAATCTTATTTTTATTAATAAAACCCCAAAGAGACTCAAAGCTGCTAACAATGCTAAAACCGTGGGTTCTTGTAGGTTTTTCCGGGCTATATGGCCATGTTCTGGAGGCAATTTCTCTCCTGACGTTTCTCCTGCATCTATGGCAAGCATCCTCAGAGGTAGTGAGGTCTGTTGGAAGTAGGAAAAATGGGTTTATATATCTGTGGAATGACCAGGGTGAGCAAAGGACTCTTGTCTGCTGGAGCTAGGGGGTGAATGTTTCAACTGACCACCTTAATTAGTGGGTTGTTGTAGGTTTTTTCTGGCTATATGGCCATGTTCTAGAGGCATTCTCTCCTGACGTTTCGCCTGCATCTATGGCAAGCATCCTCAGAGGTAGCGAGGTCTGTTGGAAGTAGGAAAATGGGTTTATATATCTGTGGAATGACTTGAGTGGGACAAAGGACTCTTGTCTGCTGGAGCTAGGGGGTGAATGTTTCAACTGACCACCTTAATTAGTGGGTTGTTGTAGGTTGTTCAGGGCTATATGGCCATGTTCTGGAGGCATTTTCTCCTGACGTTTCGCCTGCATCTATGGCAAGCATCCTCAGAGGTAGTGAGGTCTGTTGGAAGTAGAAAAATGGGTTTATATATCTGTGGAATGACTTGAGTGGGACAAAGGACTCTTGTCTGCTGGAGCTAGGGGGTGAATGTTTCAACTGACCACCTTAATTAGTGGGTTGTTGTAGGTTGTTCAGGGCTATATGGCCATGTTCTGGAGGCATTTTCTCCTGACGTTTCGCCTGCATCTATGGCAAGCATCCTCAGAGGTAGTGAGGTCTGTTGGAAGTAGGAAAAATGGGTTTATATATCTGTGGAATGACCAGGGTGAGACAAAGGACTCTTGTCTGCTGGGGCTAGGTGTGAATGTTTCAGCTGATCACCTTGATTAGCATTCAATGCTAAAACCATAATAATAATAATAATAATAATAATATACAATTTCTTTTCTTCATAGAGACTCAAAAATCTATTATTCATATCCCATTTCTCTCCTCTAAGAGATTCATATTACCAATAATAACAATAATAATAACAATAATAATAATAATATACAATTTCTTTTCTTCTTAGACTCGTAATTCCAGATACCATATGACACACACGCACAGAGAGAGGGAGTGAATCAGGGTTGGCCAATCGAGTTAGGCCTGACTGGGGCCTACCTGCCTGGCTCCTTCCTCCGCCTCTGCTTCCCCAAACAAGACCGAGCCGGCCTCTGCTGCGCCTGCGCACTCCCCGCCGAAGCGGAGCCCGGGGCAGGCTGGGAGACGTAGTCGCGCCTCCGAGGGGCGCCGCGGAGAGAGAGCCGCGCGGGGACTACAGCGCCCACAAGGCGGCGGGCGGGGGAGGCGGGGCCAGGGCAGCTGCGTCAACAAAGACACGCGCCGGTGACGCGTCCTTGGGGCGGGGCCAAGGGCAAGGGAGGCGGTTGCCAAGGCGACGCCGAGGAGAGGAAAGAGGAAGCAGCAGCGCCCAAAGGAGGCGAGCCCATAGCAGACATCCGGGAACCTTCCTGGCGCTTTGGACTCCATTACCCAGAAGGCCCAACCATGGGCCCAAACGACGGAGCCTTCTGGGAGTTGGAGTCCAAAACACAAGGAAGGAAGGAAGGCCACAGCTGGGGCATCACTGCCATCCCTCCATTCAGCTTTTGAAGTTGTTATTCTTATTTCACACCTGAGCTGGCCAGGACTTATAATAATCAGAATAATAATTACAATACTAATACTACTAATGGGATGTTGTAGGTTTTTTCGGGCTATATGGCCATGTTCTAGAGGCATTCTCTCCTGACGTTTGGCCTGCATCTATGGCAAGCATCCTCAGAGGTTGTGAGGTCTGTTGGAACTAAGAAAAGGGGTTTATATACCTGTGGAATGACCAGGTGGGACAAAGGACTCTTGTCTGCTGGAGCTAGGTGGGAGTCACTGGGTTGTTGTAGGTTTTTTCGGGCTATATGGCCATGTTCTAGAGGCATTCTCTCCTGACGTTTCGCCTGCATCTATGGCAAGCATCCTCAGAGGTTGTGAGGTCTGTTGGAACTAGGAAAAGGGGTTTATATACCTGTGGAATGACCAGGGTGGGACAAAGGACTCTTGTCTGCTGGAGCTAGGTGGGAGTCACTGGGTTGTTGTAGGTTTTTTCAGGCTATATGGCCATGTTCTAGAGGCATTCTCTCCTGACGTTTGGCCTGCATCTAGGGCAAGCATCCTCAGAGGTACTGAGGTCTGTTGGAACTAGGAAAAGGGGTTTATATACCTGTGGAATAACCAGGGTGGGACAAAGGACTCTTGTCTGCTCTTGTCTGCTGGGAATGTTTCAACTCACCACCTTGATTAGCATACAATGGCCTGACAGTGCCTGGAGCAATCTTTTGTGAGAGGTAATTATATGTCTTTGTTTGTTTCCTCTCTGTTGTTGTGCTGTTGTAATTTTAGAGTTTTTGAATACTGGGAACCAGATTGTGTTCATTTTCATGGTTTCCTCCTTTCTGTTGAAATTGTCCACCTGCTTCTTGAGGATTTCAATGGCTTCTCTGTGTATTCTGACATGGTGGTTGTGAGAGTGGTCCAGCATTTCTGTCTTCTCAAATAATCTGCTGTGTCCAGGTTGGTTCCTCAGGTGCTCTGCTATGGCTGACTTCTCTGGTTGAAGGAGTCTGCAGTGCCTGTCGTGTTCCTTGATTCATGTCTGGGCATCTTCTCTTTTTGTTTTCTCTACAGTGAGGAAGCATTGGGTTGAACCAGTCGAATGCTATATTTATTTTAAATATTTATACATTACTAGCCATCCCCTGCCACGTGTTGCTGTGGCCCACATAGGGGTTCTGTATGGGAGGTTTGGCCCAATTCTATAGTTGGTGGGGTTCAGAATGCTCTGTGATTCTAGATGAACTATAAATCCCAGCAACTACAACTCCCAAATGTCAAGATTCTGTTTTCCCAAAACTCCACCAGTGTTCACATTTGGACATTTTGAGTATTTGTGTAGAGTTTGCTCCAGATCCATCATTGTTTGCATCCACAGTGTTCTCTGGATGTAGGTGAACTACAACTCCAAAACCAAAGGACACTGCCCACCAAACTCTTCCAGTATTTTCTGTTGGTCATGGGAGAACTGTATGCCAAGTTTGGTTCAATTCCATTGTTGGTGGGGTTCAGAATGCTCTTTGGTTGTAGGTGAACTATAAATCCCAGCAACTCCAAAACCCAAATGACAAAATCAATTTTTTGAGTGAAGGACATAGATGGGGTTGTTAGGTGTCTTGTGTCCAAATTTGGTGTCAATTGGCCCACAGGTTTTTGAGTTCTGTTAATCCCACAAACAAACATTACATTTTTATTTATATAGAAAATAATTCTGTCTGTCTTCCTTTCTTTCCGGCAGGGACTGGGCATGTCTTCGGAAGAGACCCCCGCAGCAGGGTCGTTCCTGTGCGCCAATCCTGGGAACCCGGTGGTCACCTGTGGCCTGGACCCCAAGGGCCTGACTACAGGGGGGCCCCCCTTGCTGGGGAAGCCCCGCCTCCTGCTCTACCAGACGACCTCCGGAGACTACGGGGCGGTGCCCCCCACCTCCCCGATGGCGCCCTGCCGCTTCTGGCCTCGCGACAACTCCTTCACCGTCTACCAGTCGGCCTGCGGGCGCAGCCAGCTCAACGGCATCAACACCGGGGTCGATAAGAGCAGGGTCATCGACCACAAAGACCTCGTCAACACCATGTGACCTAAGAGTCCCAGGGGTCCCCCTTGCCCCAATAAAATACCTTCAAAGGTGCATCATGTGTTGTTGGTCGCGGTACGGAAATTACGGTGCGCCTTAAGATCAATGGCATCTTACTGTTATTTATTTATTTGTCGTGTCAGAGCAACCAGTGAATTGTATTACATTTCTAACAGAACAAAACAAACAGACAAAACACAAAATTTGTGAGTTTGGTAGTGGATTAAATGTCCTTTGACCAGTCTCTGTCCCCTTGGAGTGCCTCTGGTGTTGCCGCAAGAAGGTCCTTCCTTGTGCATGTGGCCAGGCTCAGGTTGCATTGCAGCAGGCGGTCAGCGGTTTGCTCTTCTCCGCACTCACATGTCGTGGATTCCACTTTGTGGCCCCATTTCTGAAGGTTGGCCCTGCATCTCGTGGTGCCAGAGCGCAGTCTGTTCAGCGCCTTCCAAGTCACCCCGTCTTCTGTGTGCCCAGGGGGGAGTTTCTCATTTCGTATCAGTTCTGGGTTTGAGCCTGCCACTTTTGGACTCTCGCTTGCTGGGCTGTTCTAGCGAGTGTCTCTGTAGATCTTAGAAAACTATTTCTAGATTTAAGTCATTGACATGCTGGCCGATACCCAAACATGGGATGAGCTGGAGATGCCTCTGCCTTGGTCCTTTCACTATTGGCTGCTACCCCCTGCCACTTTTGGACTCTAGCTTGCTGGTGTCTCTGTAGATCTTAGAAAACTATGTCTTGATTTCAGTCGTTGACGTGCTGGCTGATACCCAAACAGGTGATGAGCTGGAGATGCCTCTGCCTTGGTCCTTTCACTATTGGCTGCTCCTTCACGGCGGATGTCAGGTGGTGCAATACCGGCTAAGCAGTGTAATTTCGCCAGTGGTGTAGGGCGCAGACACCCCGTCATAATACGGCATGTCTCATTAAGAGCCACATCCACTGTTTTAGCGTGGTGAGATGTGTTCCACACTGGGCATGCGTACTCAGCAGCAGAGTAGCATAGCGCAAGGGCAGATGTCTTCACTGTGTCTGGTTGTGATCCCCAGGTTGTGCCAGTCAGCTTTCGTATGATATTGTTTCTAGCACCCACTTTTTGCTTGATGTTCAGGCAGTTCTTCTTGTAGGTCAGAGCACAGTCCAGAGTGACTCCTCCCAGGGATTTGGGTGTGCTGCAATGCTCCAGTGGGATTCCGTCCCAGGTAATCATCCTCAGAGCTCGGGATGCTTGTCTGTTCTTGAGATGAAAGGCACATGTCTGTGTTTTAGATGGATTAGGGATCGGCTGGTTTGCCCTGTAGTAGGCAGTAAGAGCACCTAGAGCTTTGGAGAGCTTCTGTTCTACCATCTCAAAGCTCCCTGCTTGAGCGGTGATGGCACGATCATCAGCATAGATGAAGCTCTCTGTCCCTTCTGGCAGTGGCTGGTCATTTGTGTAGATGTTGAACATGGATGGAGCGAGCACGCTCCCCTGAGGCAGGCCGTTCTTCTGTTTCCGCCATCTGCTTCTCTGGTCCTAGAACTCAACAAAAAATCTCCTGTTTTGTAGCTTTTGTAGGGAGACAGATAGATACAGAGAGACAGACCGACAGACATAGATGTCCAATTGAAGAAATGCAATATCGCTGAGAGTTTTTAAACAAATGCAAGCTCTTCCTGAGAATTTCCTTTACTTTGTTTATTGAGAAAAAGTATTACATTTAAAAAATGGAATTATTTTCTACAGAGAAAGCTTTCTGGAACTCAGGCACAGCTCTTCCTCTCCTCCTGAGTGCCAGAAGGGCCACTGATAACGGGGCGAAGGAGCCCCCAAAAGTCAGCATGGCTCTTCCCCAGAATCACTCCTGCCCTTGAATGATGTGTCGAATCCTTTCAGCATCTTCTTCCAGATTTTTATTGGAAGGTTCGATTTTTAGCGCAGCAATGTAATCTTGGAGGCCTAGGGGAAAGGCAGCACACACCTATGGTAATGATATGGCATATTCTACTTTATTGTGAAAGCAGAATGTGCATTGACTTCTAAGTATCTTTACTTTGTACAATGTGCCCAATGCTCCTGATTTTCAAAGCAGGAATCCTAATAATAATAAAAGGAGGGAGAAATCTCTCTCAGTTTCCCCTAGGTCCGTGATGGTGAACCTATGACACGCGTATCAGCACTGACACGCATGGCTATTTTTGATGACACGTGGCCACATGCGGCCGCATACAGAGAAGTACACCTTATAAGAGCCAATCTAATTCCATCCTTAAATTTGTAAAAGGCTCTACACATTTAACATATGCACCTTTGAGCATTGTTCACTCCATAACTCAGCATGGAATATACATTTTTCTTATTTAAACTATAAATATTGCAAAAATATGTTGTTGTTTTTTCTCGAAGTTGACACCCCACCCAAGTTATGCTCAGGTTTTTGGCAAATTTTGACACACCAAGCTCAAAAGGTTGCCCATCACTGCCCTAGGTGGTGGTTACACACTGTAGGAAGATTTGGCATGATAACACCACAGAATAAGAATAAGACTAAGAACAACAACAACAGAATAAGACTATGAAACACTAACAATAACACTTTGTAACACTATTATTTTTGTTCCTGGGTTATAAATGTCAATTCCTAATTGGTTCGATCACAAAAATATGGGAAACGTTTGTCTTTGCAAGAGGGACATCCTGCAGCACATTTTGCAATAGTTTTTCAAGGAGTATCGCAACATCGAGACTCAAAAGTGTTTTGTGGCACAAAAAAGAAGTTTCTGGAGTAGAACATCAACTTTCAAAGTCAGGACAACACAATGAAACAAGAAATAATAATAATAATAATAATAATAATAATAATAATAATAAACAAGCCATCAGAACAAATGCAATTAAGGCCAGGATTGAATGACCCAAAATGCAGATTGTGCGAGGAAGCTGATGAAACCATGGACCATCTCCTCAGCTGCTGCAAAAAAATTGCACAAACGGACTACAAACAGAGGCACAACTCTGTGGCCCAAATGATTCATTGGAACTTATGTCACAAGGACCACCTGCCAACAGTAAAGAACTGGTAGGATCATAACCCTGCAAAGGTAGTGGAAAACGAACACGCAAAAATACTTTCGAATCCAGACTGATAGTTTTGGAACACAATATACCAGGCATCACGATTGTGGAAAAGAAAAAAGTTTGGATTATTGAAGTCACCATTCCAGGTGACAGCCGCGTTGAAGAAAAACAACAGGAAATACTCAGCTGTTATCAAGACCTCAAAATCGAACTGCAAAGACTCTGATTGCATAAACCAGTCCAGGTGGTCCCAGTGGTCATTGGCGCACTGGGTGCCATGTCAAAAGATCTCAGCTGGCATTTGGAAACAATGAACATCGACAAAATCACGATCTGTCAATTGCAAAAGGCCACCTGACTTGGATCTGCGTGCATCATTTGAAAATACATCACACAGTCCTAGGCGCTTGGGAAGGGTTCGACTTGTGATTTTGTGATACAAAATCCAGCATAGAGATCTCGTTTGCTGTGATATACTGTGTTTTTGAGTCAGTAAAATAATACCATAATATATGTATTAAAATAATATATATATTAATAATAATAAAGTAATAAATGTAATAGTAATAGAATAAATTAATAAATGTGATGATAATAATAATAATAACAACAACAGAGTAAAATGATAAATAACTTTGACTTGAGTATAAGCCTTGGGGGATTTTTCAGCTTAAAAAGAATGGAAGGGGAGGAAGGGGGGAATGAGGGGAGGGGGGGATTGGGGGGGAGGGGGGAATGGGGGGGAGGAGGAGGGGATTACAAGGGACTAAATTTAAGGTCGTCTGGGGAGGCCCTGCTCTCGACCCCGCCACTATCACAAGTGAGGTTGGCGGGGACGAGGAGCAGGGCCTTCTCAGTGGTGGCCCCTCACCTGTGGAACTCACTCCCCGGGGAGATTAGAACAGCGACTTCCCTTTTGGCATTCAGAAAAAAATTGAAGACCTGGATATGGGACCAAGCTTTTGGATATTCTGGCAGCTAAGGAAAGATCTGACGATAAACAAGGGCGAACGGAATGGAATGGATAAACGGACTCTGAACACTGAGCATGAGATTGTTTTGCTATTTTACTATGTATTAATGTTTTCAACTTGTTAATCGTTTAAATTGCTTTTATGTATTGTTTGTTTATTGATTTAGGCATCGACTTGTGCCTTCGTTTGTAAGCCGCCCTGAGTCCCCCCTCGGGGGTGAGAAGGGCGGGGTAGAAGTAACTGAAATAAATAAATAAATAAATAAATAGTGTTCACAATGTATCAAGCCACAAAAAAGTTTTTAAATGGAAATGGAAATGATGTCCAATAAATTAAGAATTTCAACACTTAACACGAGAGGGTTGGGGACGGTAATTAAGAGAAGGCGGATTGAAGCCCTAGTGAAGAAGGACGCAACGGATGTTATCTTCTTACAGGAAACACACCAGAATAAACCGGGTTTGAATGAATTAAAATCGAGTTGGATAAGGAGCTATGAAAAATCCTTTGGGTCATCAAAATCAAGAGGTGTAGCTATAATAATTGCAAAGAAATGTAATTTTGTCATAAACAAGGTATTGAAAGATGAGGAAGGTAGATATATAATAATGTATGGTGAAATAGGGGAGGATAAATTTGTTGTTCATTCGTTCAGTCGTCTCCGACTCTTCGTGACCTCACGGACCAGCCCACGCCAGAGCTCCCTGTTGACTGTCACCACCCCCAGCTCCTTCAAGGTCAGTCCAGTCATTTCAAGGATGCTATCCATCCATCTTGCCCTTGGTCGGCCCCTCTTCCTTTTACCTTTTACTTTCCCCAGCATAATTGTCTTCTCTAGGCTTTGCTGTCTCCTCATGATGTGGCCAAAGTACTTCAACTTTGTCTCTATCTCCTTCCCTCCAGTGAGCAGTCGGGCTTTATTTCTTGGAGGATGGACTGGTTGGATCTTCTCGCAGTCCAAGGCACTCTCAGAACTTTCCTCCAGCACCACAGCTCAAAAGCATCGATCTTCCTTCGCTCAGCCTTCCCTAAGGTCCAGCTCTCACATCCGTAGGTGACTCCAGGGAATACCATGGCTTTGACTATGCAATGGATCTTGGTTGCCAGTGTGATGTCTCTACTCTTTACTATTTTATCAAGACTGGACATTGCTCTCCTCCCAAGAAGGAAGCGTCTCCTGATTTCCTGGCCACAGTCTGCATCTGCACTCATCTTTGCACCTAGAAATACAAAGTCTGTCACGGCCTCCACGGTTTCTCCCTCTATTTTCCAGTTGTCAATCATTCTTGTTGCCATAATCTTGGTTTTTTTGACGTTTAGCTGCAACCCGGCTTTTGCGCTTTCTTCTTTCACCTTGGTTAGAAGGCTCCTCAGCTCCTCCTCGCTTTCGGCCATCAGAGTGGTGTCATCTGCATATCTGAGGTTGTGAATGTTTCTTCCAGCCATTTTCACCCCAGCTTTGCATTCCTCAAGCCCCGCACATCCTCGCATGATGTGTTCTGCATACAAGTTAAAAAGGTTGGGGGAGAGGATGCAGCCTTGCCGGACGCCTTTCCCAATCTTGAACCCGTCTCCTGTTCCGTGGTCAGTTCTGACTGTGGCTCCTTGGTCCTTGTACAGATTCCTCAGGAGAGAGGGAAGGGGGCTTGGGATGCCCATCCCACCAAGAACTTGCCACCAATTTATTATGATCCACACAGTCAAAGGCTTTAGAATAGTCAATGAAGCAGAAGTAGATGTTTTTCTGAAACTCCCTGCCTTTCTCCATTATCCAGCGGATATTGGCAATCTGGTCTCTGGTTCCTCTGCCTTTTCTAAACCCAGCTTGAACATCTGGCAACTCTCGCTCCATGTCTTGCTGGATTCTTCCTTGCAGGATCTTGAGCATTACCTTACTGGCATGAGAAATAAGGGCCACTGTACGGAAGTTGGAGCAGTCTCAAACTTCCGTACGTAACTTCCGATAAATAGGTATTAGTAAATGTATACGCACCAAATGTAAAACAGCAAGAATTTTATGAAGACGTGCTAGATCAAATAGAGAACTATCACCAACAAAATGTAATATTTGGAGGGGACTGTAATTGTTATATGGATAAAAAAAAAGATAAAACTACACAGGATAAGGATAAGATACTTTTTTATCTAATAGCAGCCGCAAGGATGACGCTAGCGAAAGCATGGAAAACAAAAAAATATGTATTGTCGAAGGCTTTCATGGCCGGGTAAAGACGTGCCCCTTGTTTATAACTGTTTTAACTGTTGTTTAATTATGATTGTTAATTTGATGTTCGGCATCTAATGGTTGCCTATTGTAAAACCACCCTGAGTTCCCCCTCAGGGGTGAGAAGGACGGAGTACAAATGCTTGAAATAAATAAATAATACACAATGTCTTTCCTTTTGTGTATGTTTTTCGTCACTTTGAGTCCCGATGCTGGAGAAAAGCAGGATGGAAATAAATAAATAATAAAAATAATCATGTGAGAAATGTAACATTCCCCTTACCTTCAGCATACAATTCCAGTTCGCAGAAGGCCGTCCCACGCCGGACATGAGCCTTTGCCCTGGCCTTTGCGTTGTCAGGGACAGGAGGAGTCAATAAATCCAAAGCCTTGGGAATAATAATAATAATAATAATTTCCTGCTTGTTCTTGTGCCTCAAGGTTTTAGAACAGGCATGGGCCAACTTCAACATCACTTGGGAGCCCCTCAATATATACAATATAATAATATATAGAAATTATAACATTGTAATGTAATAATGCTAATATATTACATATAATATTTTTTTTTGTCATGTCAGGAGCGCCTTAAGAAACTGCAAGTTTCTTAGGGAAAAGGTCCGCAAGGCTAAAGCACAAAACTTCTAACTGTGCTAAAACACAAAAGAGACATGCACAAGAAGTGGAAAAAGGGAGAAATCACCAAAGAAGAATTCAAACAAATAGCCAACACCTGTAGGGAAAAGGTCCGCAAGGCAAAAGCACAAAACGAGCACAAAATGAAGTCCAAAATACCTGGAGAGAGGGCTGAAGTTGGCCCATGCCTGCTTTACAATATCTGTTAGAGAAGACGTCAATAGGCCATACCTTGGAGGCGTCTTCGATGGCCTTGTGCAGGTTCCTCAGCCTCAGGTGGCAGGCAGCTCTGTTCAGGTACAAGGCCGGGATCCGGCTGTTGATGCGAATCGCCAGGTTGTAGGCATTGATCGCTGCCAGGTAGTTTCCTGTTGCAAACATTTTGCTAAACACAGAAAAGCTGAGTAAACAGAAGGCTCGGCCGCCAGCCAAAGCATACAGAGCGGCCCATAGTTATTATTGCCTCCGAACCAAAGCAAAGCCATTCCCACCTGAGATGTAGGAACTCACTTTCCCTTGTCTTTCAGCCAGTCGGGGTCCTTCTCCTCGTCTCGTAAATCCTCAATCTCTGCAGCGGCAGCATCAATCATGCGGCGGGCCTCTGCTTGCTTGCGCAGCCACTGCAAAGAAATGAACGAATGAGAGGGAGATACAATGGTCATTTCAGTCATTTGATTGTGCTTTTCCTGCATGGCAAAAAGGGGTTGGACTAGATGGCCCTACTATAGGAGCCTATAGTTCGATGACAGGCTGGGTGGCCATCTGCTGGGAGGACTTTGATGTTGTCCTTCCTGGCTCTGATTGTGCTTTTCCTTGCATGGTAAAAGGGGGTTGGAGTACATGGCCGATGCAGTCTCTTCCAACTCTATTATTATTATTATTATTATTATTATTATTATTATTATTATTATGGCTGGCAGAAGGGGGTTGGACTGGATGGCCTTTGAGAGATCCCTTCCAAATCTATGATTCTATGACAGCTTGGATGGCCCTCTGTCGGGGATGCTTTGACTGCGCTTTTCCTTGCATGGTAAAAGGTGGCTGGAATAGATGGCCCTACTATAGGAGTCTATGGCTCGATGACAGGCTGGGTGGCCATCTGCTGGGAGGACTTTGATGTTGTCCTTCCTGGCAGAAGGGGGTTGGACTGGATGGCCTTTGAGGGATCCCTTCCAAATCTATGATACTATGACAGGCTGGAAGGCACTCTGTCAGGGATGCTTTGGTTGTGCTTTTTCCTACATGGTAAAAGGGGGTTGGAGTACATGGCCAATGCAGTCTCTTGTTGATAGCCATGTATAAATGATATGATAGCCATGTATAAATATGTGAGAGGAAGGCACAGGGAGGAGGAGGGAGCAAGCTTCCTTTCTGCTTCCCTGGAGACTAGGATGCAATGGGAGAATGGTATCAAACTACAAGAGAGGAGATTCCATCTGAACATGAGGAAGAACTTCCTGACTGTGAGAGCTGTTCAGCAGTGGAACTCTCTGCCCTGGAGTGTGGTGGAGGCTCCTTCTTTGGAGGCTTTTAAGCAGAGGCTGGATGGCCATCTGTCAGGGGTGATTTGAATGCAATATTCCTGCTTCTTGGCAGAATGGGGTTGGACTGGATGATGGCCCAGGAGGTCTCTTCCCACTCTAGGATTCTAGGATTCTATGATTCTTCCAACTCTATGATGATGATGATGATGATGATGATGGCTGGATGGCCATCTGTCAGGGTTGTATTTTTTAAAAAACAATTTTATTAAGTTTTCAAATATACAAAGATAAGATAAAATCACATGTCTAGTTTATAAGTCATAATTTGGAAAAAGAATAATGAGAAGAAAGAAAAAAAGTGAAGAAGAAAGAAAAAATAGACAATAAAAGGAAGAAAAGAACATAGAACAAAAACCAAACTCTCTCTCCCCCCCTCTCTCTCTCTATATATATATATACATACAGATATATACACATACATGCATATATATACATGTCTACACCCACTTATACACATAAACATACGCATACATACACCCGCACACCTATACATACACTCACATAAAGAAAGATATACTATCTAAACACACATAAATACAAACGAAACCGTCGATCTCGAGACTTCCACCCTTCTTTAGTATGGCTTTCAAAAATTTATCTAAAATAGCTTTTCGACGTTGTTTCTTTCCCATTGGCAGGCAACAGTGTTTTCACCTTTCTTTTCTTCCTTTTTCCTTTCCTTTTTTCTTGTTTTGTCAATCCTATTATTAATCCTGTTCCTCTTACTATTAGTTAATTTCAAATTAGTACCTTTAACTGTCAGGGTTGTTTTGATCGTACTTTTCCTGCATGGCAAAAGGGGTTGGAATAGATGCAGTCTCTTCCAACATTATTATTATTATTATTATTATTATTATTATTATTATTATTACTACTACTAGCCATCCCCTGCCACACGTTGCTGTGGCCCACATGGGGGTTGTATGTGGGAGGTTTGGCCCAATTCTATCGTTGGTGGGATTCAGAATGCTCTGTGATTGTAGGTGAACTATAAATCCCGGCAACTACAACTCCCAAATGTCAAGAGTCTATTTTCCCCAAACTCCACCAGTGTTCACATTTGGACATATTGAGTATTTGTGTAGAGTTTGGTCCAGATCAATTATTGTTTGAGTCCACAGTGATCTCAGGATGTAAGTGAACTCCAAAACCAAAGGACACTGCCCACCAAACCCTTCCAGTATTTTCTGTTGGTCATGGGAGAACTGTGTGCCAAGTTTGGTTCCATTCCATCATTTTTAGGGTTCAGATTGCTCTTTGATTGTAGGTGAACTATAAATCCCAGCATCTACAACTCCCAAATGACAAAATCAATGTTTTTGAGTGATGGTCACTCATTAGCCTGATAGGTGTCTTGTGTCCAAATTTGGTGTCAATTCGTCCAGTGGTTTTTGAGTTCTGTTAATCCCACAAACGAACATTACATTTTTATTTATATAGATTATTATTATTATTATTGAAACTGGATGGCCATCTGCCAGGGATGCTTTGATTGTGCTGTCCCTGCATGAAGGCAGAAGGGGGTTGGAATAGACGGGCCATATGGTGTCTTCCAACTCAATTATTATTATTATTATTATTATTATTATTATTATTATTATCATCATCATTATTATTATTGTTAAGGCCAAATGGCCATCTGTGGGGTTGCTTTGATGGTGCTTGTCCTGCATGCATCCCTGGAAGCGCCCTGTCCCCTGCCTGCTGACCTCCTCCTCTTCGGGGGCCCGGGACTCCCTGCTGGCCGTGGGGAAGGCCCGAGGGGTGAAGGCGACCCCGATGCTCCCGGCTGGACGCGGGGCAGGCAGGTCCTCTGCCTTTAGCTTGTCCCAAAACATGTTTCCCGAGTTCCTTCCTGTGAGGAAAAGAGGTGGAAAAGAGAGCCATGAGGAGAGGCGGGTAAGTACTACTACTACTATTATTATTATTATTATTATTATTATTATTGGAAACACAACAAGATGAGTCCACAGCAGACACTCTGCTGGCTGTTGGATTGGATCCCACGTTGGACACTTCCCAAGTGTCTAGGCCTGTGCGATGTATTATTATTATTATTATTATTATTATTATTATTGGAAACACAACAAGATGAGTCCACACCAAACAAGATCATTCTGCTGGCTGTTGTATTGGATCACACGTCGGACACTCTTCCCAAGTGTCTAGGACTGTGTGATGTTATTATTATTATTATTATTATTATTATTATTATTAATTATTATTATTATTATTGAAACACAACAAGATGAGTCCCACAGCAGACACTCTGCTGGCTGTTGGATTGGATCCCACGTTGGACACTTCCCAAGTGTCTAGGCCTGTGCGATGTATTATTATTATTATTATTATTATTATTATTATTATTATTGGAAACACAACAAGATGAGTCCACACCAAACAAGATCATTCTGCTGGCTGTTGTATTGGATCACATGTTGGACCCTTCCCAAGTATCTAGGACTGTGTGATGTATTATTATTATTATTATTATTATTATTATTATTATTATTGGAAACACAACAAGATGAGTCCACAGCAGACACTCTGCTGGTTATTGTATTGGATCACACGTTGGACCCTTCCCAAGTGTCTAGGCCTGTGCGATGTATTATTATTATTATTATTATTATTATTATTATTATTGAAACACAACAAGATGAGTCCACAGCAAACAAGATCCCTCTTGCCCTCTGTTGTATTGGATCACACGTCAGACATTTCACAAGTGTCTAGGATTATTATTATTATTACTACTATTACTATTATTATTATTATTATTATTATTTGGAAACACAACAAGATGAGTCCACAGCAGACACTCTGCTGGCTGTTGAATTGGATCACATCGGACACTTCCCAAGTGTCTAGGACTGTGTGATGTATTATTATTATTATTATTATTATTATTATTATTATTATTATTATTATTGGAAACACAACAAGATGAGTCCACAGCAGACACTCTGCTGGTTATTGTATTGGATCACACGTTGGACCCTTCCCAAGTATCTAGGACTGTGTGATGTATTATTATTATTATTATTATTATTATTATTATTATTATTGGAAACACAACAAGATGAGTCCACAGCAGACACTCTGCTGGTTATTGTATTGGATCACACGTTGGACCCTTCCCAAGTATCTAGGACTGTGTGATGTATTATTATTATTATTATTATTATTATTATTATTATTATTGGAAACACAACAAGATGAGTCCACAGCAGACACTCTGCTGGTTATTGTATTGGATCACACGTTGGACCCTTCCCAAGTGTCTAGGCCTGTGCGATGTATTATTATTATTATTATTATTATTATTATTATTATTGGAAACACAACAAGATCAGTCCACACCAAACAAGATCATTCTGCTGGCTGTTGTATTGGATCACACGTCGGACACTTCCCAAGTATCTAGGACTGTGTGATGTATTATTATTATTATTATTATTATTATTATTATTATTATTATTATTATTGAAACACAACAAGATGAGTCCACAGCATACACTCTGCTGGCTGTTGTATTGGATCACACGTGGACACTTCCCAAGTATCTAGGACTGTGTGATTTATTATTATTATTATTATTATTATTATTATTATTGGAAACACAACAAGATCAGTCCACAGCAGACACTCTGCTGGTTATTGTATTGGATCACACGTTGGACCCTTCCCAAGTGTCTAGGCCTGTGCGATGTATTATTATTATTATTATTATTATTATTATTATTATTATTATTGGAAACACAACAAGATCAGTCCACACCAAACAAGATCATTCTGCTGGCTGTTGTATTGGATCACACGTCGGACACTTCCCAAGTATCTAGGACTGTGTGATGTATTATTATTATTATTATTATTATTATTATTATTATTATTATTATTATTGGAAACACAACAAGATGAGTCCACAGCAGACACTCTGCTGGTTATTGTATTGGATCACACGTCGATCACTTCCCAAGTGTCTAAGACTGTGTGATGTATTATTATTATTATTATTATTATTATTATTATTATTATTATTATTATTATTATTGGAAACACAACAAGATGAGTCCACAGCAAACAAGGTCACTCTGCTGGCTGTTGTATTGGATCATACGTCAGACACTTCCCAAGTATCTAGGACTCCGTGATGTGTCGGCGAATAATGCGTGCAGATCCCAGTAGGGTGGCCTTTTGCACCTGGCAGGTGGCAATCTTGTCAGTGCCGATTGTTTTCAAGTGCAGGCCAAGGTCTTGAGGCACTGCACCAGTGTGCCAATCAACAATGGGACCACCTTGACTGGCTTGTGCCAGAGACTTTGCAGTTTGATCTTTAAATCCTCATATCATGTCAGCTTTTCCAGTTATTTCTCTTCAATCCTGCTGTCGCCTGGGATTGAAACATCCACGATCCATACTTTGTTTTTCCCCAAATGATGGCATTTGTTCGAATGCAGCGGTTCTCAACCTGAGAATGCAGCGGTTCTCAACCGCAGGGGGGTCGTTGGGCCATTTTCGAATGCAGCGGTTCTCAACCGCAGGGGGGTCGTTGGGCCATTTTCAGGGGGTCGCGAAGCTGCCTTGGTTGGCCCCGCCCCTGCCAAAATGGCTGCCGACCCAGCCTTTCTGCCCGCCCCCGCACACCCTTCCGAGCTCTTTGATGGCAGGGGAGCTATACATCCCAGTAGCTCCCAAATGCCAAGGTCTGTTTTCCCCAAACTCCACCAGTGTTCACATAGGGGCATATTGAGTATCCGTGCCAAGTTTGGTCCAGATCCATCATTGTTTGAGTCTGAAATGCTCTCTAGATACAGGTGAACTGCAACTCCAAAACTCAAGGTCAGTGCTCACCAAACCCTTCCAGTATTTTTCATTGGTTGTGGGAATTCTGTGTGCCAAGTTTGGTCCAATTTCATCATTGGTGGAGTTCAAAATGCTCTTTGATTGTAGGTGAACTATAAATCCCAGCAACGACAACTCCCAAATGACATAATCAGTTCTCTCTCCAACCCCACCAGCATTCAAATTTGGGCATATTGGGTAAGATAAGGTAAAAGTTTTCCCCTGACATTAAGTCCAGTCGTGTCCAACTCTGGGAGTGAGTGCTCAATTTCTAGGCCAAAGAGCCGGTGTTGTCCATAGACACCTCCAAGGTCATGTGGCTGACATGATGGCATGGAGCGCTGTTGTTGGATATTTGTGCCAAATTTGGTCCAGTGAATGGAAATACATCCTGCATTTCAGATATTTACATTATGATTCATAATGGAAAAGAGGAAAAGAGAAAGCCCATTTTTGTTACAGTCATGGAGTGAGAAGCCATTTCTACCTCTGTCTGTTTTGTTTCTATTGGAAGAGCTGGATTTCCCTGTCTCGGGATTCTTTCTCTTTTCATGATGCGCCTTCTGCTCTTCTTTTGCCTCCTTTGGCCTCTCCTTCTGCCTCTTCCACCTCTCAATCTCCGCATTGGCTTTCCTTCGCTCCTCTTCTTTGCAATCTTCTATTCTTTTCCTTTCTGCTTCTTCCAGCTGTTTGGAAAGACAAGGATCATATATTTATTACCAGCTGTAGTGAAATTGCTACTCTATGTTAAAGTTTTGGTGTATAGCTCTATGTTTACATATGGTAGATAGGGAAGAATAGGTACAGACAGGGTAGCAACAGCAGAGATGGGATTCATTTGAATATGTGAAGCCGATTGGTCATATGCAGATTAGTGTAGGCCCAGGATTTGAAAAGGCTGCTAGGCCAAAATGACAGTTGGGGAGAGCAGAGCAGTTATGAAGATGTGTTAAAGACTTCTGATATAGAGAAGCAGTTAGTTAAATAGAGCTCGGAACATAAAGGAACATAAAGAAGGCTAGTGTTGCCTTAGTTCAGAATATAATTCAGCCAAGAGTGTGTGAAGCAAGTAACATGTTTGTGAATTTGAAACATTGATAGTGTTGCAACCCAGATCAGGAAACGAGACCATGAGATTAAATCCACCACACTTAACTGTGGGAAAAAACAATCCTTTTTTATTGATGAAAAATGGTTACAAAATAGAGGAAAATGCAAAGTCAAAATGCCACAGTAAAACTCAGCAGTCAGGAATATCTCTGAACTAGATCAAAATTCCAAACGCAACACTATAAAAACCTGGAACCTGTTAGCATCTCACTAACCGTACTTGGAAACTAGAAGCCTCTGGGAATGCAGGCCATGGGAAACGGGAACTCTGCCAAGGTAATGCTTCAGTCTAAATGATGCTTGATCTAACGAAACAGCCCAGGGGGAGACACTTAAAACTAAAGAAACTATTTCGGGACACACCTCCAGGCTTGGAAGCCTCCTTTTCCTTTAATCTACTTGACCTTCGCAGGCTCTGTGATTCACTCCTGTTTTTCCAAATCTGTACTCTTCTATCCTCATTAAAAAAGGCAGGTGTTAACTCCTCTGGAGAGTTATCACCGCTTGATTCTGAAACATTCTCATCAGGATGTGTAGTTTCACTTTCCCAGCCACTGCCCTCAGAATCAACAGTTCCCAAACCATCAGGGGAAAATACATGTTCAGTAGCCTGTTCAGTTGCATCAGGAAATACAATTAAAGAATTAGGTTCAGGTTCACACAGAGGCTGAGGGTCAGGCTCACATGGAGGCTGAGGGTCAGGTTCACACAGAGGCTGAACCCCAACAGATAGTTCATTCAGAAAAGTTAACCAAATAAATGATACTCACTGTAAGCCTCAAGATTGCAACGAAACCACAAGCGTTGGAACCAGAAGTTATAAAATAAACTGTGTTACTTGGTTATACACAAGAATGTTTCATTGCCTGCGATATAAAGTACAAAGGTTTAACAGCACACAGAAAGTCCCAGCCAATATAAAGAAGAAACTGAATCAGTATAAGGCAGCAAAGAGGGTTTTTTTAAAGAGGAAATAATCTCTCTCCCTCGCCTCACCAGCCTATCATTGTCATCATCATCATCATCATCATCATCATCATCATCATCATCACCATCCACGTATATTTTGGTGATGAACTGACTCACAGAAACACACAACAACAACAACAACAACAACAACAACTTGTGCCACAAATACCATCTGCCTGTGACAAAGAATTGATGGGATCACAAGCCTGAAAAAGTTACACAAAAAGAACACATCAAACTGTTAAGAGACCCTAAATTGGGCCTTCTTAGGTCCATGTCACGGGCGCACGAAAGGAAGGAGACAGTCCCAAAAAAAGATTAAAAAAACAAGGTTTATTTTCGTTTCTTCATGAAGAAGTCGGACAGCCTGGCAGCATACGCAGATACTACACCTTCAAGTATCTCAGATCAACAATAACTTCATGTGGAAATTTTTTTTGACAAAGTCACCACATGGATGAAATGGCGCTCGGCAGCTAGTGTACTCTGCGACAAGAAAATATCCAATCACCTGAAATCAAAAACTTATCGAACTGCTGTAATGTATGTGCTTGAAGGTAGATGGCACAGAGAATTATCTCAAACATATCTGAAATTGGACTGATAAGTTGTGTGCTCGTGCATGCTGAACACATGAAGGTTGCGAGTAAACCAAATATGTTATTTTTATCCAAGTGTACTTTATTTTTGTTTCTTGAGTGAATGATATAAAACAAGTTGTGTTATGGGAGAGAGAGAGAGAGAGTATATGTGTGTGTGTGTGTGTGTGTGTGTGTGTGTGTATATATATATATATATATATATATATGGCATTGAAAAATACTTCTAAAGCTCTACTGTTTTATGCACTGGCAAAATCTCTGTTTCCCTAACAGATCAGGGGTAACAGGTTATTCAGTCTAACAACTGAACCCATTGCCTTACATAATTATATCTGGTTGTATACCACATGAGAAGATTCTGCTCTAAAGATTAGACAAGCACCTATCCTCAAAATTTCAAGGAGTCAAAAACCTGGCTATTTAAGCAGACTTTTGATAATGGCTAAGAGAATCAACCACCTTATTGGACAGGACTTTAAATGAGTATTAGAACTATAATTTATAATGCTGGATACCCTGATTATAGGAATTGGCTGGTTTTAAACGGCGTGTGTATATATACATATCCACACACACATACACAGAGAGAGAGTTTTTAGAGGGCTAAATAGTATTTAAACTGTTTATTTATTTGTGTTTACAATATTGTGCTATTTTGTACTATTAATTGATATGTGATTATTGTCTGTGTTATACCATTTCTTTGTTATATCATGTATTTGGTTGTTTTTGCTGTAAGCCGCCTCAAGTCTCTTCGGGGTGTTAGAGACCCTAAATTGGGTCTTCTTAGGTCCACATCACGGGAACAAAAAAGGAAGGAGACAGTCCCAAAAAAAGATCAAAACACAAGGTTGATTTTAGTTTCTTCATGAAGAAGACGGACAGCCTGGCAGCATACGCCGATGCTACCCTTCAAGTGACTGCCGTGCCCCTCCTCTTTTTCTGCTGACCTTTATACTCAAGTAATAGGTCATAGAAAGTTCTCTCTTTCCAACCCCTCTCCCTTGACCTTTTGATGGAAAGTACCTTCTTGTACCTGCAGACTCTGCGCTTAACCACAACCTTTGAACTTAACCACAATACAACTTCCAACCTCTACATGTCACGTCTTGTTTCTTAAACACATTTTCTTCTGAGTTGCTCCTTTTCTACAGAGAAAGGGTATGTTTCTCTTCTGCTGTTAATTTCATTCAGAGCCCCTTGCTTAGCATTTGCAAATTTCACTCAAAGACCCTTTCAGGGGAAAGGGCGCGGGATATAAATAAAGCTTATTATTATTATTATTATTATTATTATTATTATTATTATTATTATTATTATTGGGTTTTTGGCTCTTCTCTGAAAGGTCACGCTTTACTAAAAATTATGACCTCCAAAAGGCGCTTTCCCCCAAAAGGTTATGAATGGCATTTTCCAAAACTTTCAAAGTCAGGACCACACAACCAAACGGAAATGATACTTTCAAACCAGGAACATGATGTTTCTCAAATGTTGTCCCATAGAGTAATATTCGGACAAGCTGCTCAATGACAAAAGGTCTCTGCGAAGGGGGATCAGAGACTGCGTGGAGATGGATGGAAGGGGATCAGTGACAGAAGAAGAAGAGGTGTGGCACCATGGGCCCACTGGAGCTTGGCTCACCTTCATCGTGGCATCCAGGGTGAAGTGGCCCCGCTCCCTCTTCCGTGTTGCTTTGGCTTCGGCCTCGGTCGCAGCCTCTTCCTGGGCCTTGCGTACCGCTGCTTCCCGGACTCTCTGCCGCTCCGCTTTGTCCCCTGGGAAGGAATCCGCCCAGCAGCAAGGAATAATAATAATAATTATTATTATTTACTACTGTACCTGCCACGCGTTGCTGTGGCCAAACTTCCCTCCCTCTTTCTTTCCTTCCTTCTTTCCCTCTTTCCTTCCTTTCCTCTATTTCTTTCCCTTCCTATTTCTCTTCTTTCTTCCATCTCTACCTGTTTCTTTCCCCCTTTCTTTGCTCTTTGGTTCCTTTCCTTCTTCTTTCTCTCTCCTTCCTTCCTTCCTTCCTTCTCTTCTCCTTCCTTCCTTCCTTCCTTCCTTCCTTCCCTGTCTTTCGTTCCTTCTCTCCTTCTTTCCCTCTCTTTTTCCTTTCACTTTTTTATTTCCTTCTCTCCTTCCTTTCTTCTCTATCTTTCTTCCTTTCCTTTCTTCTCTCCCTCCTTGTCTCCTTCCTTCCTTCCTTTCCTGTCTTTCGTTCCTTCTCTCCTTCTTTCCCTCTCTTTTTCCTTTCACTTTTTATTTCCTTCTCTCCTTCCTTGCTTCTCTATCTTTCTTCCTTTCCTTTCTCTTTTCCCTCCCTCCTTGTCTCCTTCCTTCCTTCCTTCCTTCCTTCCTTCCTTCCCTGTCTTTCGTTCCTTCTCTCCTTCTTTCCCTCTCTTTTTCCTTTCACTTTTTTATTTCCTTCTCTCCTTCCTTTCTTCTCTATCTTTCTTTCTTTCTTCTCTCCTTCCTCTTCCTTCCTTCCTTCCCTTCTTTCTTCTTTCTCCTCCTTCCTCCCTCTCTTTTTTCCTTTCACTTTTTATTTCCTTCTCCTTCCTTTTTCTTCTTTCTTCTTTCCTTTCTTCTTCCCTCTTTCCCCTCCTTCCTTCCTCTTTGTTCCTTCTCCCTTCTTCCCTCCTTTTCCTTTCCTTTTTTTCTTCTCTCCTTCCTTCCTTCTTTCTTCCTTCCTTCTTTTCCCTTCCCTCCTTTCCTTCCTTCCTTCCCTTCCTTTTGCCTTTCCTTCTCTCCTTCCTTCCTCCTTCCTCCTTCCCTTCCCTCCTCCTCCTTCCTCCTTCCTTCCCTCCCTTCCTTCCCCCCTCCCTCCTTCCTCCCTCCCTCCTTCCCCCTGGATCCTTCCTTCTCCTTCTTTCCTCTCTTTTTCCTTTCACTTTTTTATTTCCTTCTCTCCTTCCTTTCTTCTCTATCTTTCTTCCTTTCCTTTCTTCTCTCCCTCCTTGTCTCCTTCCTTCCTTCCTTCCCTGTCTTTCGTTCCTTCTCTCCTTCTTTCCCTCTCTTTTTCCTTTCACTTTTTATTTCCTTCTCTCCTTCCTTGCTTCTCTATCTTTCTTTCTTTCCTTCTTTCCCTCCCCTTTCCCTTCCTTCCTTCTTCCTTCTTTTTCCGTTCCTTCCTTCCTTCCTTCCTTCCCTGTCTTTCGTTCCTTCTCTCCTTCTTTCCCTCTCTTTTTCCTTTCACTTTTTTATTTCCTTCTCTCCTTCCTTTCTTCTCTATCTTTCTTCCTTTCCTTTCTTCTCTCCCTCCTTGTCTTCCTTCCTTCCTTCCTTCCTTCCTTCTCTCCTTCTTTCCCTCTCTTTTTCCTTTCACTTTTTTATTTCCTTCTCTCCTTCCTTTCTTCTCTATCTTTCTTCCTTTCCTTTCTTCTCTCCCTCCTTGTCTCCTTCCTTCCTTCCTTCCCTGTCTTTCGTTCCTTCTCTCCTTCTTTCCCTCTCTTTTTCCTTTCACTTTTTATTTCCTTCTCTCCTTCCTTGCTTCTCTATCTTTCTTCCTTTCCTTTCTCTTTTCCCTCCCTCCTTGTCTCCTTCCTTCCTTCCTTCCTTGTCTTTTGTTCCTTCTCTCCTTCCTTCCTTCCTTCCTTCCTTCCTTCCTTCCTTCCTTCCTTCCTTCCTTCCTTCCCTCCTTCCTTCTCTCTTTTCTTTCACTTTTTTATTTCCTTCTCTCCTTCCTTTCTTCTCTATCTTTCTTCCTTTCCTTTCTTCTTTCCCTCCCTCCTTGTTTCCTTCCTTCCCTCTTTCCCTCCTTCATTCCTTCCCTCTTTCCCTCACTTCTTGACTGTCCCTTCCATTTAATTTGTATTATATATATATATATATATATGTGTGTAACATATTATACAGTAATCTATATAACAATATATAAAATATTGTATTTATATCTTACATAGAAAGGAGGAAAGGAAGAAGGAAGGAAGGAAAGAAGGGAAGGAAAAGAAAGAAGGAGGGATGGGAAGGAAGGAAGGAAGGAAGGAAGGAAAGGAAGGAGAAGGAAGGAGGGGTGAAGAAAGGAGGGAGGGAAGGAAGGAAATGAAGGGGAAGGAAATGAAGAAAGGGAAAGAAGGAGGAAAGGGAGGGAGGAAGGAAGGAAAAGAAGGAAAGGAGGAAGGAAGGGGGGACAGGAAGGAAGGGAAGGAGGGAAAGAAGGAAAGGAAGGAGAAGGAAGGAGGGAAGAAAGGAGGGAGGAAGGAGAGAAGGGGAAGGAAAGAAGAAAGGAGAAAGAAGGAAAGAAGGAGGAGGAAGGAAAAGAAGAAAGGAAGAAGGGAAGGAGGAAGAAGGAAGGAAGGAGGGAAAGAGAAGGAAGGAAGAAGGAAGGAGGAGGGGAGGAAAGGGAAGAAGGAAATGAAGAAAGGGAAAGAAGGAGGAAAGGAAGGGAGGGAGGAAGAGGAAAAGAAGGAAAGGAAGAAGAAAGGAGGGACAGAAAGGAAGGGAAGGAGGGAAAGAAGGAAAGGAAGGAGAAGGAAGGAGGGAGGGACAGGAAGGAAGGAGGAGGGGAGGAAAGGAAGGGGAAGGAAATGAAGAAAGGGAAAGAAGGAGGAAAGGAAGGGAGGGAGGAAGGAAAAGAAGGAAAGGAAGAAGAAAGGAGGGACAGGAAAAAAGGGAAGGAGGGAAAGAAGGAAAGGAAGGAGAAGGAAGGACGGAGGGACAGGAAGGAAGGGAAGGAGGGAAAGAAGGAAAGGTAGGAGAAGGAAGGAGGGAGGGACAGGAAGGAAGGAGGAGGGGAGGAAAGGAAGGGGAAGGAAATGAAGAAAGGGAAAGAAGGAGGAAAGGAAGGGAGGGAGGGAGGGAGGAAAGGAAGGAAAGGAAGAAAGAAGGAGGGAGGAAGGGAAAAAGGAAAGGAAGGAGAAAGAAGGAGGAAGGAAGGAAGGAAGGAAGGAGGAAAGAAGGAAAGGAAGGAGGAAGAAGGAGGGAGGGAAGGAAGGAAGGAGGAAAGGGAGGAAAGGAAGGGAAGGAAATGAAGAAGGAAAGAAGGAGAAAGGAGGAGGAGGGAGGGAGGAAGGACGAAGGAAAAGAAAAGGAGGGACAAAAAGGAAGGGAAGGAGGGAAAGAAGGAAAGGAGAAGGAAGGAGGGAGGAAAGAAGGAAGGAGGAGGGGAGGAAAGGAAGGGGAAGGAAGGAAGAAAAGGAAAGAAAGGGAGGGAGGAAAGAAGGGAAGGGAGTCCTTTCGGGTGGAGTGTGGCAGAGGCAGCTACCTCCTGTGTGTGTGTGTTAAATGTGTGCTCGTGTTGCCAGAGACAGGCGAGCAGGTCAGACAGAAAGGAAAGAGTTAAAAAAGAAAGGAGGGTCTACAGAAAGTCCGTCTCCCACCCGCCTCTTCCAACAGAGCAGGGAAAGAGAAGGGGCTCCATGCGGGAAGCCTCCCCATCCACACCCATGGTGCCCACTCTCGCTTGTGTGTGTATGTGTGTGTGGGGGGGGGGGGCATGCACACGCGCCTGGCTCCTCATACTTTAACGGCCGGCTGTTTCCCCGTGAGGAGGAGGAGGAGGCGTGGCCATGGGTCTCTTTGTAGACATGCAGTTTCTCCTTTGTGGACATGTAGTTCAGAAGTCCTTTCTGCTTTTTGTTTTTGTGGGGTTTTTTTAGTGCTAAGATCTTCCGGGGAGGCCCTCCTCTCGGTCCTCCTACCGTCTCAAGTGTGGTAGGTGGGGACGAGAGAGAGGGCCTTCTCAGTGGTGACCCCCTATCTCTGGAACGCCCTTTAGGACCAAATGCATAAATGAAATGAAATGAAAGGCTCAGGAACTCACCTCCCTCCATGAAAAGGGACTCCCAAAGGCAGGGCTCCTGTTTGTAGAGAGTGAAGGAGACGCAGCCCTCCTCCACCCTGGCGGTGCTTCGCACATCATCAATGGGAGCCCAGAGAAGGACCTCAAAGAGGAACGGAGGGGAGCTCACCTGGGGAGATATCCATCATCATCATCATCATCATCATTATATTATACTATTTATTGACTTTATTTCTATCCCACCTTCCTCCCCATAGAGGCAGAGGAGAGCTCACCTAGAGCCATTTTTATAGAAAATACAGAGTTGTGAGTTTCAAATCTCCCGCTCCCTGCCTGGCTCGAAGGTGATTAGCTGGTGCCAGCAAGTATGGAAAACACAAGAATGGCCATCAGACTGGAAAAAATCCACTTCTCTCCCCATACCAAAAAAGGGAAATGCGAAAGACTGCTCCAACTTCCGTACAGTGGCCCTTATTTCTCATGCGAGTAAGGTAATGCTCAAGATCCTGCAAGGAAGACTCCAGCAATACATGGAGCGAGAGTTGCCAGATGTTCAAGCTGGGTTTAGAAAAGGCAGAGGAACGAGAGACCAGATTGCCAATATCCGCTGGATAATGGAGAAAGGCAGGGAGTTTCAGAAAAACATCTACTTCTGCTTCATTGACTATTCTAAAGCCTTTGACTGTGTGGATCATCATAAATTGTGGCAAGTTCTTGGTGGGATGGGCATCCCAAGCCCCCTTCCCTCTCTCCTGAGGAATCTGTACAAGGACCAAGGAGCCACAGTCAGAACTGACCACGGAACAGGAGACGGGTTCAAGATTGGGAAAGGCGTCCGGCAAGGCTGCATCCTCTCACCCAACCTTTTTAACTTGTATGCAGAACACATCATGCGAGGATGTGCGGGGATTGAGGAATGCAAAGCTGGGGTGAAAATGGCTGGAAGAAACATTAACAACCTCAGATATGCAGATGACACCACTCTGATGGCCGAAAGCGAGGAGGAGCTGAGGAGCCTTCTAATCAAGGTGAAAGAAGAAAGCGCAAAAGCTGGGTTGCAGCTAAACATCAAAAAAACCAAGATTATGGCAACAAGAATGATTGACAACTGGGAAATAGAGGGAGAAAATGTGGAGGCCGTGACAGACTTTGTATTTCTAGGTGCAAAGATGAGTGCAGATGCAGACTGTGGCCAGGAAATCAGAAGACGCTTCCTTCTTGGGAGGAGAGCAATGTCCAGTCTCGATAAAATAGTGAAGAGTAGAGACATCAGACTGGCAACAAAGATCCATTGCCTAGTCAAAGCCATGGTATTCCCTGTAGTCACCTACGGATGTGAGAGCTGGACCTTCGGGAAGGCTGAGCCAAGGAAGAGAGATGCTTTTGAGCTGTGGTGCTGGAGGAAAGTGCTGAGAGTGCCTTGGACTGCGAGGAGATCCAACCAGTCCATCCTCCAGGAAAGAAAGCCCGACTGCTCACTGGAGGGAAGGACACAAGAGACACAGTTGAAGTTCTTTGGCCACATCATGAGGAGACAGCAAAGCCTAGAGAAGACAATGATGCTGGGGAAAGTGGAAGGCAAAAGGAAGAGGGGCCGACCAAGGGCAAGATGGATGGATGGCATCCTTGAAGTGACTGGACTGACCTTGAAGGAGCTGGGGGTGGTGGCGGCCAACAGGGAGCTCTGGCGTGGGATGGTCCATGAGGTCACAAGGAGTCAGAGACGACTGAACGAATGAACAACAACAACAAACAGCTGGGAGGAAGCTTGGCCGTCCACCGCGCGTCTGGGCCTATCACAGTGCTTCTGCAGTGCGCCAGAGCCAATCAGAAGGCTCCTGCCGCCTCTGCGCTCCAGCGAATCAGAATTAATTAATTCATTTTACTTATTATTATTAATTATTATTTACTATTTTGTTATTATAGTTATGATTTACTATTTACTATTTATTATTATTTGTTATTCATTATTATTGATAATAACAGTAATTTACTATTATTATTTACTATTATTTATATTCATTATTTATCATTTATTATTACTATTTAATATTATTTATTATTTGGTATTTTTATTATTTGTTATTACAGGTATTATTTACTATTTATTATTATATGTTATTCATTATTATTTATAATAACAGTAATTTGCTATTATTATTTATTATTTATTATATTATTTATATTTATTATTATACTTCACTGCCTCTGAGGATGCTTGCCATAGATGCAGGCGAAACGTCAGGAGAAATGCCTCTAGAACATGGCCCTATAGCCCGAAAAAACCCACAATAACCTTTATTATTATTATTTGTTATTCATTATTATTTATAATAACTAATTTACTAGTATTATTATTTACTATTATTTATATTTATTATTTATCATTCATTATTAAGATTCAAAATTTATTATTATTAATTATCATTTAATATTTTTATTATTTGTTATTACAAGTATTATTTACTATTTATTATTATATGTTATTCATTATTATTTATAATAACAATTTATTTTCTATTATTTATATGTATTATTTATCATTTATTATTAAGATTTAAGATTTATTATTATTAATTATTATTTAGTATTTTTTATTATTTGTTGTTATAGCTATGATTTACTATTTACTCTTTATTATTATTTGTTATTCATTATTATTTATAATAACAGTATTTTACTATTATTATTATTTATTATTTACTATTATTTATATTTATTATTTATCATTTATTATTAAGATTCAAGATTTATTATTAATAATTATAATTTAATATTTTTATTATTTGTTATTACAGGTATTATTTACTATTATTATATGTTATTCATTATTATTTATAATAACAGTAATTTACTATTATTATTATTTATTATTTACTATTTATATTTATTATTTATCATTTCTTATTAAGATTTAAGATTTATTATTATTAATTATTATTTAGTATTTTTTATTATTTGTTATTACAGTTATTAATTACTATTTACTCTTTATTATTTGTTATTCATTATTATTTATAATAACAGTAATATGCTATTATTTATTATTTACTATTATTTATATTTATTATTAATCATTTATTATTAAAATTTAAGATTATTATTATTATTTACTATTTTTATTATATGTTATTACAGTTATGATTTACTATGTATTATTACTTGTTATTCATTATTATTTATAATAACAGTAATTTACTATTATTATTATTTATTATTTACTATTATTTATATTAGGTTCTTGTGGGTTTTTTCGGGCTACAGAGCCATGTTCTAGAGGCATTTCTCCTGACGTTTCGCCTGCATCTATGGCAAGCATCCTCAGAGGTTGAGAAGGTTATTTATATTCATTATTTATCATTTCTTATTAAGATTTAAGATTTATTATTATTAATTATTCTTTAGTATTTTTATTATTTATTATTACAGTTATTTATTACTATTTATTATTATTTGTTATTCATTATTATTTATAATAACAGCAATTTACTATTATTATTTACTATTATTTATATTTATCATTTATTTTTATTATTTGTTATTATAGTTGTAATTTACTATTTACTATTTATTCTTATTTGTTATTCATTATTATTTATAATAACGTAATTTATTATTATTTATATTTATTATTTATCATTTATTAAGATTTTGTATTTGTATTTTTAATTATTATTTATTTACAATTTATTATTTTTTTTGTTATGAATTATTTATTTAATTTTACTTATTATTAATTATTATTTATA